AGCTGTAGAGGGCAGTGTCACTGGCCCTCATATGTGGGATCCGAACCGGGGCCCTCTGGCATCCCAAGCCAGCTCTTAACCAACGCGCCACTCAGCTGGCCCCCAAGCCAGTTCTTAACCAACGCGCCACTCGGCTGGCCCAATATTCTGATTACTTTTGACTGTGGCAAGAAAACTTAAAGATAGGGCATGCCTCAGTAATTATTAAGGGAAGTATATCTATTTTACTCTAAATAATACTGAAAGAATATTTTTTTAATTTCTCAATTATAATCTTTATTGGTTTCTACAAAGAATTGCTTATAATTATAAACCATTTATTCTAGAACAAATACTTTGTAGTTTCATTTAATACTACTAATCTAGTATAATATAGTTAAAATGATATAGCTGCAACTTAATTATGAAAACTTATACTAACACATTACATCAACGAACATTTATTGAGCACTGTTTTATGTTTAGAAGACCAAGAGAGGAGATAGAAAAATAACCAACATGGTTTATAGTCTTGATCTTGTAAAGAAGACAAATATTATATATACAACTAATTGTAACATAAATCAGTCTTAAAAGTGTATAAACATGAAGTGTATGAAAGCGTTATAAACAAAATACTCTGGAATCACAAGAATGGAAGAGATAAATTAGGCAGAGAAAACAGCATAAACAATGGTATGGAGGTATGAAATGTGTGACTTATTGTGGTGGGAATGGAAGTCTGGGGTGGTCAAAGTGTGGACTGCAAATGACAGAAAGATGATAAAAAGGAGGTGGGAAAGGGAGGCTAAGGCCAGAATGCAAAGGTTGTTGTTAAGGGTGTGAGCTTTATTCTACGGGGAATGAGGAACTGAATTCCACTTTAGTATACATTTCAGCCATACTGGCTATTAGTTCCTCTAATTTCTCAGCATCTTTCCTGCTTTAGGTCCTTTCCGCAAACTCTTTTCTGTGCCTGAAATACTCTCTCCTCCCTCTAACTGCAACTTTTTACTCAGCTGCCTTTTTCCCCTTCAGATTCCAGTTTCCATTTCACTTGCTTGTGGGGGCCTTCCCTGACCCAATCTACACAGTAGGTCTGTCCCCCTTATTTTTCTTTTTTAATGGGACTCTTCATTTTGTTGTTTCTGTTTTGTATTTAGCTCTCAACACAATTTATAGTTAGTTATGTTTGTCTCCTTGTTTAACGTCTGGCCCACCTCTGACTCTAAGCTCCAGGAGGGCACTGGCCATCTCCGTTATTCTCCAGGTAATCTCCAGAGACCAACCAGCGTGGCAGCTGGCGCATGAGAGAGGCTCACTTAGTATTTGCCGAGAGAATGATTTACTGGTGAAAGTTTTGGTTTAGAGAAAGAAGTAGCATCACTGGATGTATGTTTTAGGAAGATAACTGTGGAGGGTAGATTAGAGATGAGACCTATTAGGAGGCCGTTGTCCAAGAAACAATGATGTCCAGACTCCAGCAGGGAGACTGGAAATGGAAAGAAGGGCCAGATGGAAAGAGAACCAGCACTTTTCTGGACCCTACTTAATAAATCCACAGTGATTGTTTACGTTGGGAAAGCATTCCATATTTTTCAGAAGACTATAAATAGATTTTTTAAAAAGTATCTCTCTGTTACAGAATGATGAGAGGTGAGGGCGAGAAAGGAGATACGAAACACAGCTAAAATAGAATGCATGCTCAGTTAATGGTTGGAACTTCTCAGCTCACGGTAGAGGTGAGGTGGAAGTAAAGGACATACTTCACCAAATGCATTAGAACTAAAGCATCAGCTATGTTTTGAGGGAGAATCTTAGAGCCGAGGGTAGAGCTTTGGTTTGAGAGTAGAACAAAGGAGTGATCAGTGCTTAGGCAGGAAAGGAGGTGGGTTTAAAAAGGAGTGTGCATAACAACGCTTTGCCTAGCAAGCCAGACAAGGGACATCCCTTGCATTTTCCTGAGATGTTGCTCTAACAATCATGGAAGCAGGAGCCTAGCTGTCTGAGGCTAGACCAGTGCTTCTCAACCTTTTTTTCACTGTCACCCCCTTAAAGAGCCTTTTAGATACACCCTTTTCTTCTAGTTCCGCCTACCCCATGAAATTTTAATATCACAGACATACTGTTTATTGGTTTATGTAGAGTATGTATATATGTACTTTATGTATAAAAAGCATAAGAGTATTTTATCCCCAAGGACCAATTTTTGCCCCCTTGAGAGTGGTATCACCTATTGAGAACGCCTGGGCTAGATAATAATCAAAACTTTCCTTCCTGGCACTCTTGCTTTCCCCAGAGTTTAGTATTAAATTTGTTTTTCTTTAAGGCCAGGGCAGAGATAGGCAGAAATTGCATATTTTTTATACAATGCAGTCAGAAACTGTGCTTCTTACATAATTTGTGTTTACATAATTTATAACTTTTCAAATAGACTCATTCAACAATCTTTAGGGATGTTTTTGCAATATGTCAGGTGCTATCCTAGGTTGCGGGATTCAGAGATGACAAAAATGTAGATGCTCACAGTCCAATGGATGAGATAGACAAACCTTCACGATATACGTGAGGTTCTATAGTAGGGGTATGTACAGAGTTTTAAGGCTGCATGAAGAAGGTAGAAGTTACGTAATTTTGCCTTCTCAAACAGGGCAGTGTCACAGAAGACAAAATTGACTTTAAGCTGGACTTTGAAAACTGAATAGGTTTTGATAGAAGAATTGAAGAAAGTCTGTCAGATATAAGGGGAAAGATGTGCAAAAGTAGAGTGAAAAAGAGCTCAGTAAAATCATGAAATGAGAGCTGAAGGTGCTGTGAGAAGCAAGGACTAAAGAGTCCAGGATATAAAGACATTTGTGGCTGGGGCGTCAGGAAATGTCCCTAACACCCGGGGATAACCCCAGAGCTGATGTTGAAGGATACACAGTTTGCCAGATGAGAGAATGTGTTTTGAGGTGGAGTGTGAGACGTGCTCACATGTGTGAGGCGTTAGGAAAGAAAGTAATTTAAGATGGCCAGTAGATGTGGAAGATAACGCTGGTGAGGACTGTTTTTCCTGAAAGGCAGCTGGGACTCACTTTTTACTGAAGTGGAGTAATAAGGGGAGATTTAGCATCACATTTCATTTTGTAAAGATCACATTGTTGACTGCAGATAGATTGGAAGGGAGCATGATAAGAGATCAGTAAGAAGGTTAAAACAATGGCAAGAAATGATAAGGTTGGAATTTTGCCTCTAAAAATATGAATTCTATAAGGAAGCAAAAGATTGGATTATATAATATGAAAGTGTAAATGTTTATTTTTGTATTCAGTGTTTTTATCTGTGTAACATGGTGCTGCTCCAACAATATGGGCTAATTAGGAGTTCCAAGTGATCTTCCTGCATGAAATAACTAAAGGCTGTGAAAGACATACTATTAAAGACATGGCTGGTCTCATTGGAGTTAAGGGACATCTCCAAGACTCTTCTCTTTCAGAAAACAAACACCCCCTGAGCTGGGTGGGGCCTGAGTAGGGATGGGAGGGTTGCCTGAGGTTAGTTGCCCATAGCAACAGTACTATTTGGATACTGAATCATGGGCAGCCATTGCTAAGCCTAGGTTCATAATGGGCTGAAGCCCAAGGTAGTGGTGGGTATGGCTGCTGGCAAAAGCAGTACATCCTGTTTGCTGCAAAGCTTCCCCATTCTCAGTTTAGGCCCATAAGACTCTTGTTTATTAAGATCATAATCTATGATTAGTAAATAAGCACTATGACTGAGAGTTGATAGTCATAAACTATATTTATGATCCTAAAGGACTACAAATAGTGGACTTTTAGCTACAGAATATGTAACTCTTACATTTATAATACTTAAAGAAATAAAGGATGCAGTCGCAAGGATCTCCAGTCAATAAGAGAGTATTAGGAATGAACAGATTTGGTTGGAACTTCTAGACATGAAAATTTATACTTGTCAAAATAAAAAAATGGTAGTTCAGTGAGCAGATTAAACAGTTAAAGACAGAATTAGTGAATTAGAAAAAATATATACAAAGAAATAACAAAATGCAACACAGAGAAAAAGAGATAGAAAATATCTTAAGAGAAGCAGAGCATAGAATGAGAAGCTATAATATGTATCTGTACTACCTACTTAGAAGATTTTTAGTTTCAAGATTTATCAGTTAAAATTTCTGCTTAGAATCCATATCCTGAACATACCCAAATGTTATTAAAAACCATTTAGCACTAAAAATTTTCTGGTTATGTGCTTCTTTTGTTTTACTAGTTCCAGTGCACTTTTCCAGCACATCACTGCATTATTCGAATGCAGTATGGCAGCTATTATCACCTTACTTGTGAGTGATCCAGTCGGTGTTCTTTATATCCGTTCATGTCGAGTATTGATGCTTTCTGATTGGTACACAATGCTTTACAACCCAAGTCCAGATTACGTTACCACAGTGCACTGTACTCATGAAGCTGTCTACCCACTGTAAGTATTAATTTAGACTTAAGATCATTTGTTGAAAAATGATAATTATAGACTTCACTTAATGTCAACAGATTGAGCATTGTAAAATGTCTTCTAGGCACGGGGAGAGACACACAGAAATGATTTTTTCTTAAGGGATACCTGGCCTGGTAGGAGGAAATAGAAATATATCTTGGTATAAGAAGTGAAAGTGTTTTTGTGTTGGTGTTGAAATGTGTATAAACACTTATAAAATAAGCCATATATGTTTCTTAAAAAGGGAGTTATAAAGAAAACCTTTTTGATAAGCAACAGGGAAGCAATGTCTGACATACAGGAAAAGAGGATGGACTTTGGAGCTAAAAACAGGCTTGAATTTGAATCCTAGGTCTGTTAGTTGTTGTGTTAACTGGAGCATGTTAAGAGCTTCTTGTAACTCAGTTTTCCTATTGGTAAAATGTGAATGATGATCCCTTACAAGGTAATCATGCCACTACTGCCAGAAATTAAAAAAAAAGAAATTGATAAAGCCAACTATATTAAAATTTAGAACATCTATTTATAAAAAGACATCATAAAGAAAGTGATAATTCAGCCCACAAACTGAGACGAAGACATTTGCAACGTATTTAACTAACAAAGCAGAATGGATAAACAATGGAATGGTCACATGGTAGAATATTATACAGCAGTGAAAATGATTGGACCCCAGTGTGATAAATAAATATGCACATATCAGATACGGTGCAGTGCTTTACATCTAGGAAGCACCAAACAGTAGCTGGAATTATTCAAGTGCTTGGGTTAATGTTCTTTCTTATTTGTTTTTTGGTTTCTTTTCCTCAAATAAATGTTTGTAATTTCCAAATTTTTATTTGTTTTAAAAATATCAAATTCATAAGATTCTTTATAATATTATCCCCAGATTACTTCATTTTTTTGCATTTCTGTAAATTGTGGGTGTTCATTTGATGTGTTGTTCTTGGTAAAGGTATTGGGTCATTAGAAAAATCATGATTTATTTTTCTGTTTTTCATTGCAAAAATGCGTCATGACTTTTCTGACGACTCAATATAATAGAGGAGTCTGGTATTTATGTTCTCATAGTTATAGCAAGTTTTCATTACATAATATGCTCGGTGAAATTGTCCTTTTTGAGCGAGTTATTAATAGTACTAAGCATCAAAAACACACATGCACATATGTAAAAAGGTAATTTTCAAAAAATAAGATCCAAGGGAGCATTTCATATCTTGATCCCCGGCATATGTCATCAGTTTGGCTCAAATAAACTCTGATAAAAATTACAAAAAAGATAAGATCTAGATATAAAGATATGAAAATCTTTTCCACCTGCCTACCTTTAAGGCCTACAAATGATTTATTTCATGTATATATAGTCTCTCTCTGTATCTCTCTCTATGTACATATATATGACTACAATTTATATATAAAAGGCTGATATGTCCTCAGTTGATTTCATAGAGCTATACCCTCAGCTTCAATTAATGAAATAATGGCTGCGTAGTATTCCAGCATGAATGTACTATAAAATGTAACCAGTTTTCTGTTGTTGAATATTTATTTTCTTCCCAAGTTTTCTGTATTATGTGATCCAATAAAAACCTTGTTTGTAAAGTTTTTTGTGTATCCCAATTATTTCCTTTGATAAATTTCCACAAGTAACATTGCTGGATCGAAGGATATAAACATTTTTATGATTGTGAATACACATTTCCAAACTGCCTCCCGGAGAGGAACCAGCATGCACTGCAGCAGTGTATAGGAGTCTTTTTGGCCAACCTTTCACCAATATGAATATTCAATAGGTAGATTTAATATACTTTTTAAACCTTTTATAGGCTCTTTGATTTAAATTAATGATCAATGATAAAATATTTAAAAAAATATTTTTGATAATGTAATTCCTTATTTTATCTTACAGCTACACCATTGTATTTATCTATTATGCATTCTGCTTGGTATTAATGATGCTGCTCCGACCTCTTCTGGTAAAGAAGATTGCCTGTGGGTTAGGGAAGTCCGATCGATTTAAAAGTATTTATGCTGCACTTTACTTCTTCCCGATTTTAACCGTGCTTCAGGCTGTTGGTGGAGGCCTTTTATGTAAGTTTGATGGGTAAAGTCAATCTAATATATTTATAATTATATGTGATAAACAGTATATTCTCAGTATAATTTTGGAGCTTTTTTAAAATAGTTTTTTTAATCTTTGAAAAAAATATATATATATTTAGCAATACTGCATATATAAATACATATATATATATATATAAATCATAATAAGCCTTATTAAAAAAATCATGGGTTTTTTGGAATGGAATAAAAATTCTCAAGAAATCAGTAGCAGCTAATCAAAACTGATCTCTATTTAGAGAATACATACTTTGTATTTGAAACTTATAACCTAAATAGGAAGATTTTTAAGACCTGAGTATAAATTAGAAACAAAAACTGGTTTTTGCATGTAATATGTGGAAATTACTATTGATAATGTATACTATTTACCATGAAGTTAGGTCTTAGATTTCTAAGTTCCTTTATGAAAACCTTTTAGATACAGTAAAAGAATCTTCAACATATTCTTTATTTTAATATAGTCATTCATTCATTTATTTAGCAGCCATTTAGATTGAACCATGACTCAAAAGAAGAATAAGAAAAAGTTGGCATTAAAGGGCTCACATGCTATTAGGAAAGCTACAGATAGCTGAGAGGACATAGCTGATTTGAAAATGTGACATTGACCACTGTAATGATGTTAGATACCATCTTCTTTATGGAGCCCACCAGGGTACCAAAGGCAAGCCTTCTGGCCTAAAGGAACTAGGCAGGACTGGGCATCATTATACAAGTCATGTAGCTTGGTAGTGAATTTGGATCAAGTGAAGGTGGTGCTTTGAGGGTAAGACCAAGGGACGAGGAAATAGAGACTAGTCAGGGGTCTGTTTCCCCTCATATTCTAGTGTACAGATGTACTGTTTCAGTTGACCAGATGGTGTTTGAAAATCTGTAGTCCCTTGTAGCTCCTGCCGTTCCCTATTTTCTTAGATTTGGCCGACTTCAGTAATGTACCTGCCTGGCTGGCCTCTGCAGGCATTTGAGGTGCTATTTTTGCTTTAGGGAATAGAAACCTACTCTTGAAAGGATTTTAGGCAGAAGAGAGACATGACTAGGTTTGCATTTTAGAAAGGTAACTTGGTGGCAGTGTGGAAGATGGATTGGCAGGGGGAAAGGACCTGGGGACCTGATAGGAGATGATTGCAGTGAGCCGAGTCTGACTGTCCGACCTAAAGCAGAGAAACGCTAGGAATGAAGAGCATCTTTGAAGACGGAGTTAATTAAACTGGGTGACTGATTATTACAGGGGTTGAGGGGATGGGAGGAGAATATAAAATAGCTTTCTAACTAGTGAATGGGTAAAGTGAGTATTAGAAGAAGAAAATAGGTTGGTGAGGAGAAGTGAATTCAGTTTTAGCTTTCGTGGAATATTCAAAAGAGCTCAGGTATTTATACGAGTCTGGAGCTTGGGAGAGCTGTCTAGGCTGGAAAGGTTTAAGAATTGTCAGCCGTCAGATCCCTGTGTCCTAGACCTCAGGTGGTGCTGTTGTATGGAACCTCTTGGTTACAAAATGGAGGAAAGAGAAAAAGCTGTTGAAGAGGAGAGAGGGGTCTGGAAAGTTAATCCAAGGAGATGGCAGGCACTGTTGCTTCCTTCATCGTAGCAGCCATCTTGAAAAATGCCTTTTCCCACACTGAATGTCTTTAGATCATTTTGTTAACAAGCCTCCACTCAAAACACATTCACACAGGGAGGATCGAGGAGTTATTATTCATCCACACTAAGTGTAAACCTATGCAGTCTGCTGAGATTAGTCACACAGGGCATCATACCAACTCATAATTTTACAATGTTGAAAAAAAAAGTAGGTAGTTTTTGGTTTGTAGGGGTGTTCAAACAATTTTTTTTCTCACCATTCTGGAGAATGGGAAGTTGAAGAGCAAGGCACCAGCAGATTCGGTGCCTGGTGAGAGCTCATTGTGTCCTCACATGGCAGAAGGGAGCTCTCTGGAGTCCCTTTTATAAGGACACTAATTGCATTCAGGAGGGCTCCACCCTCATGACCTCAAAGGCCCCAAATACCATCACATTGGGGATTAGGATTTCAGCAGAGAATTTGGGGGGATACAAACATTCAGTCCCTAACAGGGGAATATAAAAGCCTGAGCAAAGTAGAGCAGCAAGAGACTTCTCTGGTGGTTTAAGATACTGGGGTGTAAGGAGAGAGACCCTGGGAATTATTATGAAGATGTCAGTGACAGACTGACCTGCTTGGAAGTATTATTGAAGCTAGTTTTTCAATGTGATCTGCATCTGAACCACCAGGGGACTAAAATGCAGATTTCCAGGTCCCAAATTGTTTTAGACCCTAGAATAAGACCACTCTAAATCCTGCCGTGAGCCAGGATCACCTTCTCCCCACGATTGGGCCTTGTTAGAAACTTCCTCTTACTCCTTTTCACCTTAGGCTGTTTACTACCAGGCCTTAAATTTGTATCATTAGCAACGTTTTTTTAGTTATTCATAAATTAAATGTGATGTTTTTTTTTTGAATGGCTGGTTGAGGACTTAATCACTATTTATGAAATCAAAGTTCTAAATGTCGAACAAGGCGTTCGGTTATTTAGTAAGTTGGAACCAGGACTTTATAGATAATTCAGAGTTTCTGACTTCTGCATCCTGAATTAACATAAGAAATTGTTCCGAAGGGATTTCACTGCAACGTAGAATGATTAATGGTTTAATAAACTGAAGTGAATTGTTTTAAAATAATTGTACAAGAAATAATATATTTTTTCTCAATTTGTTTTCGTTTGCTATAAATTTAAAATATTTAAGAGAAAGGTGATATTTTCTAAGAAAAAAATTTTGCTTAAACTTTTATTACTGTTCTGTATTTGAAGTACATTAGTCCCCCTTTATCTGTAGTTTCGCTTTCCATGGTTTCAGCTACCTGCAGTCAACAATGGTCTAAAAATATGAAATGGAAAATTCCAGAAGTAAAGAATTCATAAGTTTTAAATTGCATGCCTTTCTGAGTAGTGTGATGAAATCCTGCACTGTCCATCTCCATCCCCAGGGCGTGGCTCATCCCTTTGTCCAGCGTTTCCACGCTGTATATGCTGCCCACTCCAACTGCGGAGTTGGGTGATGGAGTCAGAGACTGTATGTCCTGCAAAGCCAAAGAGATTCACTCTCTGGCCCTTTACAGAAAATGTTTCCTGACCCCTGCCTTGGGGCATTAAGGCCTAAAAGTCTCTCACAGAACTGGTTGAGAAAGTTTTCAGTTATGAGGAGAATTATGTTTGATTTTTTTTTGACGGTTTATTCAGAAAATTTGGTTAATTTTCAACATAATACCAATGTTTGTTTTTCAGATTATGCCTTCCCATACATTATATTGGTATTATCTTTGGTTACTTTGGCAGTGTACATGTCGGCTTCTGAAATAGAGGTAGGAAGTCTTTTTTCTTTTTTTAAAGATATTTTTAATAGATTTGACAATTGAATAGGACAACAGTACAAATGATAGGACATGGTCCAACCGATTTAGTAATTCTTGGCTAATTGATGTCACTCAGTAGCATTTAGCTCAGTGATTATATTTTTGAAAGGTTGTATACTGAGCTATATTTTCCTCGGAAATTAGTGAAGTAGTCAGGCTCAACTATCCAGCATTTTGGAGGAAAAAAAATCATTTCACAAAAGTATTTAATTATTGAAATGTTGAAGCTTATTAACACCATTTTGAGGGAAACATAAACATGCATTATTGTATATAGAACTAATTTTACACTTTATTTCACAATGGCAACACCATCATCAATAATTATATTATACATTCTCCACCCTTCTATGTTTTGTCCCCAGTTTTATTTTTTTGATTATGGATGTTCCCTTTTGCCCTCTCATAGCTATAATATTTTGGTGATTTGGAAATCACATTAATAGGAACATTAGTTCTGAAACTGTTTCTGTTCTGACATGTCCATTTTGTGCCTCTGCCTCCTGAGTATTTCAGTGGAAGGCCACTGTTATAGTAGAACTCTATTGTGAGGCTAAACTCTAAAGGAATGAAAGTGCCTTAGTACTCGTCCATCCTGTACTTGCTAATCTAGTGCCTATGCACTGTCTTCAGCTGCTCACTACAGTTGACATGTGCTTTCTCATAATTCTTAACATAAGAAAAGCTCAACCCAGAGGAATTAAGTTGTTAACTATTTTGGAGTGCTCACTGCTGATGCTCCTTTTTGTATTACATTAGTGAGAGAGTGACAGGGAATGACTTTTAGGTAGAATAATAGGAGATGAACTAGACAGAATATGGTGCCTTTCATGTTTCCATCTGTATAATACCCCCATTTCTCCACTGTCATCTTTAATCAACATTGCAATATGTTTAATCAAAGAAGATAAATTAGTTTGGGCATGTTTATCACCTCTAGGGAAGGATTTGACGGAGGAAATGATTGGATATTTGAATAAAATGAAGTTTTTGAATTTTTGTTTACTACCCATGACTACTGTAGATAGTAGTTACTATGTTAGTTTGAAACTTGTTTCTCTGTGCCTCGGAATCTCTCCTATAAGAAATGTTCGTGTAGTTCAGTTAGCGCTCTATGCATCATAAAGTCAGAAATAGGGGCCTGAGTCAGGAAAAGACAGTCTAGCTTTAGGTAAGTTGATGAGCCATTTAGTAAGAAACAGTTGGTAACTAGCCTAATGGAAATTACATTTTAGTATGTTTATTAGTGCATTTAGATATTACTTTTATAATAATTTGGTCCTTGCAATTTCTGTACATTATGGAGCTGTATTAAAGATTAAAAGGAAATCAGAGTTGTCACATGTCATTTCTGCTCCCTTCTGATTATCCCAGCAGCAGACTCCAGGGATGCTAGAGGTTAAGGGACTTGGGTGTATGTACCTCCTGCTTCTCACCTGTAGACTCAGCTGCAGGGGATGAGGGGGGAAGAAGGCACATGACGTGGCGTTCCCTTCATGCCATGTCTGTCAGAAGAAACTAGGTTTCCAGGGTTGGGTGGTGGTGTAAACTTGAACTTAGAGACATGGGCTCCTGACCTTGTTGCCTCTGAGTGCTTACATGACCGTAGGAAGCCTCAAATTTCCCCATCTGTAGAGTGCAGTCACTGGAGTGAGTGATTTCTTAGGACCCTTTAGCTCAAACATTCTATGATTCTGAGGTTATGATTTTGTATGAAAACAAATAATACATTTTAAATGAAAATGTAATATATTATTTAGCTGATTCAACCGGATAACCTGTATTTCTCTTTTCTTTCTTTTATAAAATTATATAGAACTGCTATGATCTCCTGGTCAGGAAGAAAAGACTCATTGTTCTCTTCAGTCATTGGTTACTTCATGCCTATGGAATAATCTCTATTTCCAGAGTGGATAAACTCGAGCAAGATTTACCCCTTTTGGCTTTGGTACCCACACCAGCACTGTTTTACTTGTTCACTGCAAAATTTACTGAACCCTCACGGATACTCTCAGAAGGAGCCAATGGACACTGACTATAAAATGCCAAAAAAACAAACAAAAAGAAACACACCACAAAAAACCCTCCCAAAAAACCTAAGAAGTATTCTTAATAAAAAAGGAAAGAAATAAAAAAATGTATTTATACTCTTCTGTCATACATGGGAAAAGGATTGTCGTTATATCTTAATGTTTTTTGTTACTTTGGTTTTGTTTTTTACTTAAGAGACTTTATGGTTAGACTTCGAAAATACAAAATAATACCTTTACATAATATAATACACTATACACTTATAGCACACTATTATATGACACTAGAAGCCTATTAGGAAGCACTTGCCTCTTGCCACAGTTTATTCTTTAGAGCAAAATCATGTGTCTGTGTACCTAACAGTGTGTCGTTTCCATTTTTGTTAAGAAAAACGAACATGTATACTCTGAAATCCTTAGGGTTAGCACAGTTGTGCATGCCTGCTGTGATTCAATTTGTTTTTCAAGTATATTGAATTATAAAGACCTACATACTTGTGGGGTCTGATAGCAAACATGGAAATAAAGTATGTTGTTTTTGTTATATTTATTTTCACCAATACAGTATTTTGATCTATTACAAAAATAGAGCATAATTTATATAGAACAGGTTTCCTGTTTACAGGTAGTTTGGTTGAAGATATCTTCAGATTATTCCTGTTCCTGTAAAGAAAAACAATAAAAGCTTAACTACAAAAAGTCTCAAATGTTTTGACATTTGTATTTTGCCACACTAATTGTGGACATTCAAAATATTAAGTAGTAAGATTAGTGTCTTTTTACTAAATGAATCTGCATGTATTCATGTATTGCTTTCCTTTTATATCATTTTTTTAAGGATACATACACATGCCATATATTTTTGATCCTGAGACTTTTTTTTTTTACATTGTGACATCTTTGAATTAGGCTGCATCTTACAATTGGTGGCTTCTTAGCGTTAACAAAATACATAATATATACAGCATGTAAACATTTTTCCTGTGGTTGGTTGTTGATAGGTATGCTGCTTGTCGATTTTTATGCTCTGAAGAGTTCAAGAGACTTATGGGTGCAACCATGGAAGCAAAATAAGATCTAACCTGATAATCTGACCATGTTTATCCATTTGTATTGTTTAGAAAGTTATTTTCTGATAATGCTGTTGGTGGGGGTTGCATGAGTTTGTTAAATCTCAAACTTTAAGACTTCCATTAACAGTTGTAAATTATGAAAGCACTCACTTTTTCTGTAGTTTTGTTTATGCCTTTTGAATTCACAGCAGTTGTATCCTTAAAGCTAGGTTAGTTTTTCTTTGTTAATGTGTTTTTTCATGGTACATCCAACCATTGGAAAATGGACTTTTTTTATACGTTTGTTCTTCTTTTCTGTAGAAATAAAAATAAAATGTAAAAATTCTATATGTATCTCACACAGGTTTGGGTGACTACTAGTGTCCATTAAAGTTCTAAGTTGCCCAAAGAATCCTCAATTGGATAACTTTAATTGGAAGGGGGAGAGTCTGGGGGGTCACCTAGCCAATTACAGGGACTATTCTTGTTCCACTGTATTTGGAGCCATTTTAACAGTTATCGTCTCCTCTGATGTCCTGTTCTACCAGGAAGATGTGTATGCAAAAAGGGGAAATCATACAAGTAATTATGATTACAAGTCCTAAAGAATTTCAGGAATACTTAATACATATCTGCCTTTTTAATTTGCTTAAGAAAAAGACTACAATAATTTGTAGCAACTGTGGTTGCTAATGTTACTAATTATTTGTTAAAATGTCATTAAAACTACAAAAAAGATCCTTGTCCTAGCTCAGTTTTGTTAAGTTTTGACTTGGGTCCTTGTGGTACATCACTACTCTCACTGCTATAGTAATGATTTTGCTAACCAGTGCTAGATAGGTAATTTACAAGTCAAAATATTTTCTTGATTAGTTTGGGTCCATTGATAAATTTAACAATTAATTACGTTGTTATATATTTGTCTAAAACCACTGGTTTGCAAGACTTGACTGCACACTGGTGCTAGCTGGAGGAATTTCTAAAGACATACCTGCGTCCTACCTCCAGAGATCCATGGTGAATTGGTCTGGGGTGTAGGCTGAGCAGAGGGATTTTTAAAACCTCCAGGTGGTTCTCATGTTTTAAGAACCATGGTCTAAACTTGAACTCTCTTCCTTGTTCAGATCTTAATTTTTGCATGAGACCTTTTCACAATTTCTGGGCAAATGAGTTTTTAAAATTACTTCTTACTCAAATTTTCATTCTGCTTGAATTATAACTATGTTCTTTTCCAGAATTAAATAAAATACAGATAATTGTATCAAATCCTTATCCATCACAATAACAAAAAGACAAGTTTAACAGTTACATGAGTTATTTGATCTTTCTTTTAAAATATCTCAGTCTAAAAAAGTCTGTAGAGCACATATCAAGGTAAGATATGTGGTTAGTACACAAATTGTTTCTCTGTAATCTAAATTATAGTATGTGCTATAATACTCAAGGACTTCTGGGATTTTGAAACCAAATTCTTGTTACTACTTCTTTAAAAACATCTGTACTCGATTACTGTTTGGTCCAGGTATACATTAAAAAATGACTTATTGACCTTTTGTTGCCAAGAGAGAATATTAAGGCAAAAAGTAATGATCTGAGTTTTCAGGATGAAGCCTGGCATTTCATGCTCTGACAAGCCAGCCCTCCACTCTGGTCAGTTGGTGCCCTCAGCAGATCTCAGCCATGCCACTGTGGTTCTTGGCCAGATCATGTCTGCCGTTCCTTTGGGCAGACATCCTTATGTATTTCCAACACCCCAAAAGACTTAGTGGTCCCTCTTTCCCCTCCCATAGTCACTCATCAGATGAAATCCACTGGGTTCTAATCATCTCTTCACTGGTCTCTCTCACAGGACGTGCACTTTGAGGTCCAGGGACAGGGTCTCATTTAACTTTAACAGCAGCGTTTGCTCTGGTTACACAGAGGGGCTCAATAGAAGGTCTCACAATTAAGTTAGCGAACTTGCCACTGTGTGCTTACATTGATTGGCAGCACTGTACAAACAGCTCGGTAAGGTTTCATAACCTTGGTATATCAGTGTCTCACAGCTGTGTTCGTGTTGACTTGTGGTGGTGTCTTGCTGAGTGGCGTTCATTATTGTTGTTGCATGTTTTTGTGTGCCGTCGCAAGAATGTCTGAGCTTGCATTAGAGCAATGAACAAATGTTAAATTTCTTGTTAAACTTCACAAGAGTGGAAGTGAAATCAGGGACATGTTAGTCCAAGTATATGGAGATGATGCCATGAAGAAAACGGCAGTGTACAAATGGATTAAATGTTTTTCTGAGGGGAGAGAACACATCACTGATGAAGAGAGGTCAGGGCAGCCAGTAACGAGCAGAACTGACAAAAACATTGCAAAAATTCGTCAGATTGTGCGTCAAAATCGTCAGCTGACTGTGAGAAGCATAGCAGACCAAGTAAACATCAGTAGAGAAACAGGAAAGCCTTAACTGAAAATCTTGGCTTGAGAAAGGTGTGTGCAAAAATGGTCCCAAAAGAGCTCTTGCATCACAACAATGCACCAGCTCACACGGCACTGTCTGTGAGGGAGTTTTTAGCCAGTAAACAAATAACTGTATTGGATCACCCTCCCTACTCACCTGGCCCCCAATGACTTCTATCTTTACCTGAAGATAAAGGAAACACTGAAAGGAAGACATTTTGAGGACATTCAGGACATCAAGGGTAATACGACGACAGCTCTGATGGCCATCCCAGAAAGAGTTCCAAAATTGCTTTGAAGGCTAGGCGCTGGCGTCAGTGCATAGCTTCCCAAGGGGAGTACTTCGAAGGTGACCGTATTGATATTCAGCAAGGAGGTCCGTAGCACTTTTTCTAGGATGAACCTAATTGTCAGACCTCGTGTTGTATGTTAATGAAGCCAGAGCAGTGATCCTGACCTGCAGGGCTGCAATGACATGGTGTGTCCACAAGAGGACAGGAGAGGGCTGCTGAGCTGGAAGAGATCAAGGTCTTCTCCATCTGTGAGGGAGGCCGTTCAACAAGAACATTCGAAAGCTAGGAGATTACAGGTGGCTCACAGATGGCCAAGTAATTCAAGGAGCCAAGCTGACTTTTATCACCTCAGGAGGGTGGTAGATTTCAGGGATCCCATGAGTGCCTCATATACATGTACGTTTAATGCTTTTTACTGCGGTTATCATTTGTATTTTACAACCAGGGAGACTGAGGAGTGGAGGTTAAATAACACATAAGAAGCAAAGCTGAGATTTTGAGCCCCCCTGTCTTTAAAGCCCACATGGTGCCAGTTCTCCAGGAGCAGAACTAAGTAGAGCTAGGGAAGCAGAATCACCCTTCAGCTCTCAGCCCCACCGCCAGTTCTGATTCCTTAACCAGCTCAAGTCTCCCTCTTAGGTTCTTATGCCCCACCTTCAGTACACCTATGACCCTGGAAATTTTAAATCCTTTTGGAGAATACCTGATCTTCCCATTATACCAGGGGTGGGCAAACGACAGCCTAGGGGCGATTCTGCTACCATGGCCGAGTTGAGTAGTTGCTACAGAGACCTTTTATGGCTTGCAAATCCAAACATTTCTGGCCCTTTAAAGGTTGCTGACCTCCGAACCTGACTGAGATTTCCATTTGGGCAGGGACTAGATCTGTCCTGATTCACTACTGGAACCCTAGAGCCTAATATAATACTTGGCACAGAATAGGCCCTCCATAAATACTTGTTGAATATGGTTTAGAGTTAATAGTGAAACATGGAGGAATTTCAAATATCAGCATGTTCAACTGGCAACATTTCAGTCGCTGAAAATAGTACTGATTTTTTTTTATTGAAATTCTTCCAATCAGTAATTTATTGACTGAAAATATATTTTCGGTAAGACTATATGTATATAACATTAAGTGACATTGTTTTCATTTTAAAAGACAGAGGGGGAACCTTCTTATTTTTCCCAAATTCATCATCAGGTAACAGAGTTCATTCACCGTTACGTGGCCTGGAACTAAGGCGTCATCCCTTATTCTGTTAGTTGGGTCAGTCTGTCTGATCCTTAGACTGCCATATTGCCAACAAAGTTCACCCACTCCAGGAATGACCAAGGGAGAATGTGATATCAGTATCAACACCCTAGTTCAGAGATTGGCAAACCTTTTCTGTACTGGGTCAGAGATTAAATATTTTGGGCTTTGGAAGTCACGCGGTCTCTGTAACAGATGCTCTGCCATGGTAGCACAAAAGCAGCCATGTGTAATGTGCAAATGAACAAACATGGCAACGTTTCAATAAAACTTTATTTGTGGACATGGAAATTTGAATTCCATATAATTTTTTGATGTCATGAAATATCCTTTTGATTTCCCCCTGCGCCTCCCCTCCCCCCCCTCAATTATTTTAAAATATAAAAACCATTCTGAGCTCCATACTCTATGAAAACAGGAGGGGCAGATTTGGAGCCCAGGCTTTTGGAATTTACTGAGCCCTGCTGTAGATAATAGACTTGCTTAGAATCATCACACCATTCGTAACATCTGTAAAATTGGCAGCAGCTGAGAATATGGGGTGGAGTTCAAAGCTAAAAGCCGCCAAGCTTCAATTTCTCTAGTTTTCATCAGTCGATAAACTTTCCTTAAGGCCTGCAGCTTGTTATGGTAATGACAGCTGACAGAAATTGTGATCATGGGAGAGGTAGGTAAGTGGTCTCCAAATTTTTCTGACCCTTCACTTATATCAAGTGTCCCAATTTATTTACACATTTTAAATTTACATATATATATATATATATATAAAATGTAGTCTCCAAACTCTTCTGATCCTTCACTTACATTATGTACCCCAGTTTATTTATACTTTTAAATTTATATATACACACCATAATATGTACACTATTAAACATAGACCAAAATAGAAATTTTAAAAGATAATAAAATATTGAAAATGAACAGAACTTTTAATATTTGCTTCTTGTGTGTAGATGGACCATCACAGCCTGCTTTGGGGCTCCTTGCTTACTCTAGCATCTAGAGTCTATGACCCAGAGTTGACATCATAGCCAAACCTCAATGTTCTGGCCGTCAGCCATAGTTGGAGAAGTAGGAGCAAGCTCCAGTGTGCTTGGGAGAGACAGCTTTACTCCCACTGGGATATCTGCTGGGACTGAGCCCGGGGGCTGGATTCTAGATCCAGCCCTCTGTCACCTAAAGGGGATATTGTGCTGGAATGTCCAGATGGGAAAGTCTGAAAAGTAAATGTTCATTCATTCTCTGGTTTTACTAGTATTTATTAAGTACCTACTATGTGGGAGGCACCGTGCTAGTCACTGGAAATAAATGGTGCACCCACAAAATGGCCCAGGCCTTCATGGAACGTATGATCTAGTAGGAGAGACAGACAAAACACAAGCTAACAGAAATAAATAGTGTGTTAAGACAGAGAATAATTTAGACTGGAGGTTCTTGTATGGCATCTCTGTGGAGGTGACACTGTTAGTCTAGATCTGAACCCTGTGACCATAGAGGAAAGACTATTGCTAGCTTACAGAGGTGACTGGGTATACGCAGGAGGTACTGCTTAAGGCACAATTGTTACTGATGATAGATACTTTCACTTGAGTTATTAGCTTTGGTTTCTGGAAAAAAAGAGTAGACTAGATAATCTGAAAATCCTCCTTGTATTATAACACACCTAGAACCGTAGGAGCAAGAACTAATTTCCTTTTCAATGAAGAGTGGAAGTTGCAAGCAAGCAAGGGAAATCCCCAAAGCCCCCCCAAAAGAGCAGTATGAGTGAGCACTGGCTTTGTCTGTGGTCAGGGTGGGCGAGTGGGGAGGGTGAGCTTCCCCATAACTCAGAGGGGGTGTCAGGCAGAGGGCCTTGAGTTTCTTCCAGGCAGGCAGCTGGGGCAGACAACCCTCCATAAAGACCCTATTTACCCCTCTGGGGAATGAAGGAGGAAGGGAAATGGAATTGGAGAGCAGTATATAAAGGAGTTTGATTGTATTGTGGTTTAGTTCTTGGGGAATTGGGGGCGATATCTCAAGTAAATATAGCAAAAAATTAAGATTTGAGAATGCTTGATGGTGGATATGGAGATATACAGGTGTAGGTGTGTGTGAGTGTGTGTGTGCGCGTGTGTGTGTTTCTTTATACTTTTCATACTTGCAATATTTCACAATATTAACTGGCACTTGTTCAAGTTATCTGCAACAAGTGCAGTTTAATTAAGAATCACGTATTTACTTATACTGATTGCCTATCAAACGAACCTAAATTTTATTAAATGGCTGTGCCATTTGAATGGAATAAAAATGAATGATACACACTGGACTGTCCTATTATTTGATTTTATTTGGTTTTGTTTTTATTCAAAGCAACTATTACTCTATCCTGGATGTGGTACTTTAAATTGAAAATAGAAATAAAAACTGAAATCCCTGCTGAGAGACTGAGTTTACAAACTGACAACGGCGAGACCATACATGACAATATAACTCTGACCCACAATCTCTGCAACAGGCCCAGAACAGTCATAACTTGGTCAATGGCTGACTACTCCCCTGCTTGTTGACCCTTCTAACCCAGGACCAACCAGAGAAAGCCAAATATGCTCCCTAATGGCTCACACAGTATGTCCTGCTTCTACTTAGCCTGCTGCCGGCTTCTCCAGGCCAATAACCTCTAACCACGCACACCTGAAGCCTCCCCTTTTTTCCACAATAAACCTTTCCCACTGCCCTGCCGGCCTTTGAATCTCTGCCAAATGCAACTGATGGTGACTCTGCCTCCCTTGCTATACCAAGCTCTATGTCTTTCTTTGCTTGTTCTCATTTGGGTGGTCTTCCTTTTTTTTTTAAAAAAAAGATTTTATTGGGGAATCGGGGAAGGGGAACAGACAAGTTGCTGTCCTTTTGTTCTTCAGTCTAGTTGTGGAGGACGTCGCTTCACTGGCCCATGTTGGTATTATTATTGCACTCTTCCCTGGTGAGGCAGATCGGTCGCCGGGCCCTGGATGGCCGCTCACGGCGGCTCATGGCAGCTCACGCCAGCTGCCGGCCACTCACACCAGCTGCCAGCCACTGCAGCACACCTGCAGCTCCACTGCAGCCTATGCCATCACCGGTGACTCACGGCAGCCCAGCTCAAGGTAGAGCTGTTGTTCACCATCTTAGCTGTAGAGGGCGCAGCGTCACTGGCCCTAATGTGATCTGAACCAGCTGCTCAGAGCTGGCCTCCCAAGCCAACTCTTAACCAACACGCCACTCAGCCGGCCCTGGGTGGTCTTCCCTTATTTGCACTCTGCAACTCTCCACTTTACATAAATTTATCCATTAGACAGTCCTCAAAATATGTGAAAAAGGGAATCTGATGTTAATTATTCAGTGGGCTTAGCTTTTCAATATAGTTTATTTAAATTTGCTCCAATGCAAAGATTCCATCAGGGTTGAAACGAAAATGGAAGATTCGCTCATGTGAAAACAGTGCTTAGAGACCATTTAGCTCTTAAAATTCTGCCTCATTTACAGTTGCTGGGGATGGGCTGCTGGCGTAGCCAAGAAAATGCGAAGTGAAGCAAGGCCCACTAGGGGTCTGGTGATACATAATAAGTATCACCAGGACCAGCAGGACCACCAAAACAGCTTTTGGCTGATAATAAGCCTGCAAAAAACATTATTTCTTCTGTCTGCAATACCCTCAGAACATTGGTTTTACCAAATATAGGAATGTTTTTAATTCTATCACATTTTTTCTGCACTTAACTTTTATTTTATCTCCTTTTACTTTCTACAACCACCTTTATCATTGCTTATGTAATAATGGTGCTCTTTAAAATTAAACCTTAATAACCTCTAATAAATCCATACACTTGCTGAATGATACTATTTTCATTTCACCACTCCATCTCTCCCCTGCAGGTTATTCTCCTGCCTTCTCCCCAGCCTTCTCTACCTCCCCCATCCCACCTCATCAGGGGTTTCTACTCCTGGGGCTCTGGGCTATACCTGAAGGGCTCACCTCCATTTCTCATTGAAGCCCTAATCTGGACAGAGCTCGTGGCCTCATGTCTAACATGACATTAGAGGAGGGACTAAGGATAAAGTTGATATTCCTCTGGAGAGAGCGGGCTGCTTGCTCATAAGGCAATCATGTTATATGGGGTGTATTAACATCTCAGAAACCCCAGAAGGCATCACTAGATTTTCAGAGAAGGCCATAGTTGCTGTTTGTAATGCTAAACTCACCTCGGGAAGAAAAGGTAAATGATGTTCAGTATCTTCTGCTTAAGAAGACAAGGGAGTAAGTTTAAAAAGACTTCTTTGTAAAATGCTTAAAATCATAGTTTAAAGAAAGAAGTTAAAATGCAGTTATTTAGAAAACTCACGATTCATCCAACATTGCTGTACTATTAATACCATGTTTGACCCCATGAATGAGAAACAACATTCAGTTGAATGTTTGTGACTTGATTAGGGATGGATTACAGGGGATAACTAAGTTATTTAGTAGGCATGCTGTTTTGGGAGGGGAGAAGGGGCGCTTTTGTGATGTCACCAGCTAGAGTGAAAGAGCAGGAAGTTCTTTGTTACCCAAAGCTCTTGAGATGCTACTTACTGGGAAGGTCCTTATCGGATTCCTGCTCTACCAGAAAACGCAGCTCTGTAAGGTTCCCTTGTAACCAAATACTGATAGATTCAATTTTTTTATCTCTTTCATCAAGCTTGTCTATTAGATTTTTTATTCCTTGCAAGGTCTCTTCACCATCGCATGCCAATTCCTAAAAAAAAAAAAAAAAAAAAATTGGGGGGTGTGTGAATTTAAATTACAACAAAATAAATAAAAAGCATATTCAGTCAAGTGAATCATATCAAAGACAAAAATATTTTTGCAAAATTGGTATTAGTCACGAAAAATAAACATGTATAGAGCAAATTCACAAATTTCTGTAAACAATCTCAGAAAAGTGGATTAGTAAAAGAGAAGATTTAATGGACTGCTCACTGAACTACAAATTATTTTTCCATGGTTAATATTTTTTATTGATATACAACTGAAGTATAACATAATAATAGTCTCAGGTGTACAACATAACATTTTGATATCTATATATATTGTGTAATGATTCCCATAAGAAGTCTAGTTTAACAGCATCACACACGTAGTTACAAAATTTTTTTCTTGTGATGAGAACTTTTAAGATCTACTCTCTTAGCAACTTTCAAATATATACAACACACTATTATTAACTATAGTCACGATGCTGTACATCCCATAACCTATTTTATAATGAAGTTTGTACCTTTTGACCCCTTCACCCATTTCACCCCCGACCCCACACTACCACCCCACATACCCCCCAACCACTGGTGTTCTCTGTATCAATGAGTGAACTCAAATTTTTAACTGGATAGGATGGAGGTGGTGGTAGCATAAAAAGCCAGCTCACCTTCAGAGCAGCACAGAACTGCAGAGGAGATCCAGCATGGCGTAATGTTTAAGAGAAAGAACTCGGTATTCAGGCTGGGTCTGAGTTTTAAATTCCCATTAGTTCATTAACTGTTTGGTCTTAGGCAAGTTACTTAAAACTCTCTGAGTCTCAGTAGCTTCATCTGAAAAAGGCCTTACTCATACTTTCCTTATCCAGTGTTTTAAGGGTTAAATTTTACTTAGACAGTGGCAGAGCCAGGATTTAAAGTCCAGCCTACCAGCCTCTAAAGTGGAAAGGGGTGGAGATGTTGCCTGGCTGGTGAAAACATGGAGGATAGATGGAGTTCAGCGCTGACAACTTTTTCCTAAAACAATGTGTTCAATTTGAGCTTATATATATATATATATATGTTTAAAAAAAAAAAGTGGCCTTCACACTTTAACTGAACTGGTAGACTGGGAAGACAGTTTCCCAAAGGATTAACATTTCACAGTGACGTTTGGCACATTTTAGGATGTGATGGTTACACTAGCTCTGTCACTCTTATTTTATGGGTACACACACACACAAACACACACACCCACTTATTAGGCAGGTAAGTATTTTTAGAGGTATGATCCTTGTGGAGATAAGATAAAAAAACTCACCTTTATGGTGGTCCGAAATTTAGCCCACAAATTCAAAAATTGTGCTAAAATGAAGATTGTTAAAATGTAAAGGTTACTAAAACAATTTGAACATTTTTGTAAAAGCAATGCTACTTGTTTTTTAATAATTGTTTTTATCTAAAAATTTCTACTTCTGCACTTGCCCTCACTGCAAACAAGGGAAAATGGGACATCAGACACATGAGTGAGAGGATCTTCAGATGATTCCAGTCCCAGCTGCTGAATTACCCCAGACATCAAGCTGCCCCAGTGAACATCGTGTCGAGCAGGCATGAGTTGTCTCCACCAAGCTCTGACCAAATTGGCAATTTGTGAGCAAAGTAAATGATTTGTAATGTTTGTTATGCTGCAATAGATAATTGGCTCAAGACACTTCACAAAAGATGAAATACAAGTGGCTAAAAAGCACACGGAAAGATACTCGATAGCATCAGTCATCAGGGAAATGCAAATTAAAACCACAATGAAATACTATAACATACCTATTAAAATGGCTAAAATGTTAATGATTTTAAGTGTTTTAACAATTTTAAGTGTGGATGAGGATATGGAGTATTCTGTAGCTAGTGGGATGATAAATTTATAGAACCACTTTGGCAAATTGCTCGGCAGTTTCTTATAAAGTTAAACATACACTAATCATATAACCCAGCAATTCTACTCCTTGTTATTACTATTTACCCAAAAGAAATGAAAACAGGGCCGGCCGAGTGGCGCGATGGTTAAGAACTCGCTTGGGATGCCAGAGGGCCCCGGTTCGGATCCCACATATGAGGGCCAGTGACACTGCCCTCCACAGCTAAGATGCTGAACAACAGCTCAACCTGGAGCTGGGCTGCCATGAGTCGCCGGCGACGGCATGGGCTGCAGTCCCTGTGGCAGTGGATTGCCATGGGCTACCGTGTGTGGCCAGCAGCCAGCGTGAGCGGCCAGCAGCCGCAGTGAGCGGCCGTCCAGTAGCCGGCGACTGATCTGCCTCGCCCAGGAAGAGCGCAATGATGGTGCCAACTTGGGCCAGTGAAGCAACATCCTCCACAACTAGATTGAAGAACAAAACGACAGCAACTTGTCTGTTCCCCTTTCCCCAATTCCCCAGCACTGTTCCCATCCCCCCAATTCCCCAATAAAAATCTTAAAAAAAAAAAAAAAGAAATGAAAACAAATATTCACAAAAACACTTGTAAACAAATAGTAACCCCAAACTGGAAACAATCCAAATATCCTACGGCTGGTGAGTGGATAAACAAAATATGGTATTATTCACATAGTGGAATGCTACTAAAGAGCTATAAAAAGGAACAAGCCAATGATACGTTAACAACATGGATGGATCTTAAAATAAGAGTTTTCTGAGTGAAAGAAGCCAGGTAAAAAAGTGTGCATATTCTATCAGTCCATTTATATCCAATCGTAGTGATAGAAAGCAAATCAATGGTTTCTGAGAACGGGAGGTAGGGTAGGACTCAACTACAAAGGGACACAAGGGAAATTTTTAGGGATGAAAATGTTCTATATCTATATCTTACTTGTGGTGGTAGTGGTTACAAGGGTATGCACATTTGTCAAAACTCATTGAACTCAGGATAGGTGCATTTTATTTTATTGTATGCAAATCAGTAAAATTTGATTTAAAATTGATTCAAAGAAAACAAAAACTTTATTTTTATATATATAAAGATCACCCATGACACATTACTTACTCTGATGAGCTATCAGATGCCAAGACAGATCACTTGAGACGTGCCTGAGGGCTTCCTCTCCCTGTGTGTATTGCTCTGTCCTGTTCTTCATGTATGCAATACCCTGGAAATTAAACGCATGTAATTGATTGAACAGTTTAGTTATTGTAGATTAGTTGTGCATGCAGTCATTCAGCAAACATTTATTGATTCCTCCTCTGTGCCACTGGCTGTTCTAGGCGCAAGGGGAACAGTGGTGAACAGGGAGAGCCCTTGTCAAGCTTAATCCTGGTGAGGGAGATACAGGATCCTGCTTTCTAGAAAGCATTGTAGCACCCAAATAAACACAACATGCTAAATGTAATTTTACATAAAAAGAAATTAAAAGGTATTCTGCCTAAATGCATCATGTCCACATACACACAAAAACACTCCTTATGCAAAATGTGGGTGCAGTGAGTAGTCACAAGGCAGCAAAGTTGCCTGACTGGAGGAGTTCAGTGGAAGACCTCAGAGAGAGGGTTTATCAAGTCAGGACAACCCACAGAATTGCTCACTCAAGTCAAATGTTTCACTGGGTTGGGTGAGGTGGTAGTGAAGTGGTTTGGGTACTAAAGTCATGGCTTTCTGTTCTGACCACCCAATGCTCAGAAGCTCTAAGCTCTAGAGTCTCTGGGAACTCTGAAACTATGGCCTTTGGGATACTTTCACTGGCCCAGTTTCAAGAGAGAAATAGTCAGATACTAGAAACTACTGTTAAGAATCTAAGAAACAGTGTCCAGTGCCTTAGGAGTGGACATGGACATGTTTACAAGCTTGGGGTACACGGTCCCCTCATGCAGCCTTGCTCTTGTGTCAGTCTCTGTATGGCTTGTTGCGGGTTTTATAGTAAACCAAAGTGAAAGCCACCTTAATCCAAGTTCAAGTCTGCATCCCTGGCCCTCTGTGAACGTGGACCACTGTCTGTAGACTTGTCTATTCAGCCGACCTCCCATAACTCTCAAATGTGTTAACACACTGAATTGTAATTATCTATTTTTTTTATTTAAACATTTATTTTATTTAATGTATTTATAAAACTAAAATTATTCTTTTTTACCCGAGTGCTCTTTTTAACTTTTTCACTATTGGGATCTGTTTACATTACGTGACACTGACAGTGGCAGACATATTGCTTCCAAACGTCGCTGGAACTGAGTCAGCGTGTTTATACATGCCCACAGACCCCCAGGAAAGGCACTGGGCCACGTGTATACTCGTCTTCAGTAGTTAAAGGGTTATAACGAGGGAATTGTGTGTACGGTATTGCCTCGATCTCCCCTAAGCGTTATTTTCTTCATAACAATATTTTCTATTTTAATTTTATTTCAGAGCATCGTGGGCCACAAAAAATTACCTCGAGGGCCGCATGCAGCCCGCGGGTCGCCAGTTTTTTGTTTGTTTGTTTGTTTTTATTAAATTACTTTTTATTATGAAACACACATTTTTTAGAATTAGTTTCAGCTGTATAACACAGTGCAATAGTTATACTTTTTATCCCTCGAAGTGACAACCCCCCTCCCCCAATCCGCCGCCCCATTTCCCCCCAATATCATACTGTAATTATCTATTTATATGCCCATCTCAGCCAGACAGTGAGCTTCCTAAGGGCTTGGGGCAGTGTCTCATTCACCTCTGTATTCACAGCACCTTCCCCAGGATTTTGGACCAGTGGCTGCTTAAAATATTTGTTGAGTGATAGGAAGTAATCAGCAAAACAGAGAGTGGTGAGTGAATATGATCACAGCACAGGGTCATCCAGGGGTTAGCAGACTGGACATTGAATCCCAAAGCAGAACTTTTAGAATCAGTCTTTCTCGTAGTCATTCATTAGCTCAGCCATTACCAAAATAGCAATAAAAGCCCAATTATTTTAATAAATAATCTACATCATCTTGACAGGAAGACAATCTAGTGGAATATTCCCATGGGTGGATGCAGTTCCTCACTAGTTTGTTTCAGGGCTGGAAGAACGATGACAAGCTGCATGTGTGTGGGTCACTGATGGTGGCACCCGGGCCACGTGGAGCATATTTACCTTTTCAGAGTACATTGGTACCTCTTATGCCATTTTCATGCCACCCAAAAACACATGCTATTGGTGGAAAAAGTGTTGCCATTTAACTAATGACAACAATTACCCAGAGAAGTAAAGGGGTTTTTCCCTTACTTAGAGTCTTATTGCTGTAGGACTGCTTTTATTTTTCCAGCTATTAAAAAATTCTAAAAAATGTAGAGCCTCCATTTCCTCATCTATAAAAGAGGCAGAATATATTATCCACATTATAAGCTTATTGTGATCATCAAATGGGACAGAATCCCTCTTCCATGTAAGGGATTATGCGAAACACTTGGGATGCATGGAGGTCATTATACTTTACTGCAAAAAAAAAAAGATACTATCAATGCAAAACAGCAGACCCCCTAATATTTAAAATGGGCAAAAGACTTGAGTGAGCACTTCACAAAGAAGGTATATAAGTGGCCAACAACACAGAAATAGGTGCTTCATTAATCAACTGAGAAATGCAAATAAAAAGCACAACGGGACACCTTTAAACCTTTCAGAATGGTTAAATCGAAAAAGACCAAGTTTTGGTGAGGATATGGAACAATACACTGGTGCTCTCATACACCAGTACAATACAATTATTGCAACTTCTTTGGGGGACTGGGGCTGTGCACTAGTGTGGACGATATACATCTCTATGGCTCTGTAATTCCACCTGAACGTGTACCCAACAGAAATATGTACATATGTTCACCAAAAAACATGTACTAGGATGTTCATAGCAACACTATTTGTAATAGCCCACATTAGAAACTCTCTAAACCCCCATCAACAGTAGAGTAGATAAATGAATTGTAGTATAGTCATACAATGGAATACTACACAGAACTAAGAATGAGCCAACCATAACTGCACTAAACAATAAGGATGAACCTGGCAAACATAGTGTTGAGCAAGAGTGTGTATTGTATATAACGTTCAAAAACAGGCAAAGCTAGTCTATGGTGTTAGAAGTCAGTATGGCACTGCCCTTGCAGGGAGGTGAGTGATGGGAAGGGACATAGAGGATGTCTGGACACCATTAATGCTTGGTTTCTTGAATTGGGTTCTGGTTACGCAGGTGTGTTCATGAAGCTGTACACTTATGATTTGGGCACATATGATTTTCTTTTTTTTATTATTAGTTTCAGGTGTACAGAACAATGCAATAGTTATCCTTTTCACCCCTCACTTTTCTATTTAAAAAACTTATAAGAGCTATTCTCTCCTTTTCTCTCATAAGTATTATAGGTCTAGGTAATCAACCAAAACCATTGTGCAAATTGAAGTGCCTTCGAACTTACTTCTTTTAATCTTTTATTTTCCAGGAGCAAAGCTTCTGTTTGTAGGTCATGTACATAGATTTCATTTTCTAAGTTCTTTAGAATTTCAAAATGACTTTTCATTTTACAGCTTTCTTGATCTCTTAATTGTTTTAATTCTTGCTTCATTTTATCCTGCTCAAACATAAAACCTACAGTTATCTCATAGAGTTCAACGAGCAGGGTGCCAGTGTGTCAGGTTGCTTGGGCCACGTTCAGAGAGGGGTCCTAATTCATCCTGAACCATCAGCAGGGTCTACGGACACCTCCCCTTAGAAAAACTTTATATTAAACTCGAGACCTGATTCATGGGAATTTATTCATGGACTCTGGGAAGCGGGTTCAAGGATCCCAAGTTAAATTGTTGAGACAACTTCACAAAATAGAATTATACGTTGATAATGAGCAATTGTCTGGCAACAATGGGGAAGAGAAGAGTGAAATCTGAGGTTTTTCAAGGAGGATTTTAATATTTCTTGAAGTAAAAAGTGTGTTACATTAGGGATTTTTCAGAATTTTCTACTGTTTTCTCTACTGAATCTTTAGTTCTTAGTTATTATACTTCTATAAATCACACAATCTTTTTTGATTATATAGTCATCACTAGCAGCATCTTATTCACAAAATAGAATTGTATATATAGTATACTTACTTGTAATTCTCCCTTTCATATTTCTCAACACCCATAACATGTTAAAAGTTAACTTTAATATCAGTGCATATAAAGAATAGAATGTTTCCATTTTTAATTAACCAACTCCACATACATGTGTTTATCATTAACTATTGATTATAAATTTTTAAAAAGTAGCAAACATCTTTTTACCTGCTGCTACCATTTCATCTACTCGCCCCCCACCTTGCAACCTCTGACCACTTATCCTTGTCTTCATAGTTTACCAGAAAAACAGATCTGAAAAGAACCTTAGAAAGCATAACCCAATCTCCACCTTATAAATAAGGAAATGGAGGCCCCCCCCCAATAATTTTCCCATGGTACATGTTACTTGCTTCTAGAGTCTCTGTGTGTGTCTGTATGTTTATTATGTATACATGTGTGTGCATATGTATATATGTGTGTGCATATATATGTGTGTGTTTGTTGTGACTAAAATTGGAAAAAACTGGTATTAAAAGGGTAAGTTTACTAAATATGGATTTCCTGAAAATTCCATCGGTGCCAGGTAAGTATTACTGTCCTTATAAACCAGCATTCTAATAAAAGAAAGGAGAATGAATGCATAAGCTCTTTACCACATTGTTAAAGTATCTTGAAAAGTCTCTTGTCATTTGAAAAATGAGATTGTTCAATAATTCCTGATCCTGCTGTTGTGCTGTAAAAAAGAGAGAGAGAGAAAATAACTACTCACAATGTTCCTTAGTTTAAAAAAAACATTAATCAAAATAAGACACATGCCTGGTTTTGAACATCGAATACTATTAGAAGGCTTATAACAAAAGCCAGCATTCAGGGGCCCCAGTGCTGCATCCACCCCTGTGCTGACTACTCAAATCAACCATTTTTAACTAATTTGAGCTTTTTCATCTTCCATTTTCTTTAAAAATGCTTCTATGGGTATTTCTTGATTTGTCATTTTAAGACATTTTCTACTTACTGCCTAATATAGTAGGGGAGGACACAGTATGCTTACTCCCATCCCCCACACCCCCACACATTTTTGTGAAGTTTCATTAGGGAGCAAAGATGGATGCACGTGACTTATCCATCATACTTATTCAAAAGTCACAACATGGTTCTTTATGTATCCTGAGCCCTCGTATTCCTTCCATCCTCTGTAAGTCTCACCGCTGGCAGGTGAAGTACACAAGGCTCTTTTCCTACTCTCTAAAGCACATAGCTCTTATGTCCCCCTTCCTTTCTTTCTCCTGTCTTGCCCGTTTTTCTCTACTTTCTTCAGAATTTTCTCTCTTTTTTTTTACCTTAAAGAGAATTGGTACTTGCAATATACTGCCTACTTTCATACTTACAGTGTTTCATACATCCTCTACTTAGTGCAAGAATGGATTGGAGGAAACGTTGTAAAGTAGAAAATTCAGAACGGAGTACACATTTATCATGAGTCCTGGTAAAAGCGGTAAAATACCAAGAAAACTCACCTTAGCTGACTAAATGAAAACCTGACAAAAAGTGGACATCAGCTGAGGCTTGGGAACCAGACCAAATACCTAGGGAGTTATTCATATATTCTTAAAAATCCACCCTCCTTGGCAATTACCATATTCGTATTAAATATTTGTTCATTTCACATGTGGACATATTGGGTTTCCACATGACTGTCCTATGTTGACACAGACTGCCTTAATTCCTATCATCATATTCATCTTTGCCACCAGGTCATTCCCATCCTAGTGCACTTTTTTTTTTTCTCCTGTTCCAGTCCTTTTTGTAACTTTGGTCCTGGCCTTTCAATCCCCATGGTACTTCTTCCATCGTCTAGAAGATAGAAGTTCTGGAAGTTTTCCTGCTTAACAACCTATAGGGAGTCCTTGGATAATGATCCTCTACTCCCCAATGCAAGACAAGACTCACACCTCTGGGATGACTCTGGATCTGGGAAATTTTGGGTGCAGGATTAGATGAGCACATCAGTGTTTTTGTGTGTGGAGAAAATGATTTTTATATTAAACACACACTTGGTTTTGCCATGTAATAGAACGCAGAGTATGCTTACTTTCAGACACATTTCACATTCTCAATGAAGCCCCCCAATCTGAGACAAGCTCTTCTTATCTATCTCTGCCTCAGGGGTAAGTTAGTGAAAAAAAAATCTGGTACCTACTTGATAAATAGTTAAAGTCATAGCTGGAAATGAGATATAATTTACAAATTCATGTTAAGAAACAGAAAAAAAACCTCCACATGGTAGTAGATAAATAAGTTGGTGCTACCTTTACCAAGTACAGAGAGAAACCACATAATACGTTAATGGTTGCTACTAATTCTTAACTTTAAACAGTCTTTAAAAGAGAAAAAGAAAAATTTGACAACAGCAACAGTAAGATTTTGTGATGTGGAGGAGAGAAAATTAGTAGATGAGACAAAAAGTAGAGAAGGGAGAGTTAAAGGTGATGCAGAAAATGGGGAGAATGCCACATTGGCTTTGACTGGTGACCTGTCTCATGTTCGAAGGCAGCGGTGAAATCCTTACCTGGACTTGAAGTCAATTACTAAATGCTTCATATGTACCTGTGAGAACATTACTGAGCTCTTCAAACTCTCTGGTTTTGCTATTATACACTTCTTCTGCCACCTGAAGTTGTGGACGACACTTGTCTAGTTCCTCTTCCTGTCCTTTGGTACTTTCCATTTTCTTAACAAATCTTTGCTTTAAAGAAAGGAAAGCTAATTGTGAGGTACGATTTTAGAGAATTGACATAACATTCTAGAGTAGAATATCAGTTCTGTCTGGGTATCCTCCTACCCTGAGGAGCAAGGTATCTGACACATACTAGATAGCTAAAAAATATTTGTTGGCTGACTCACTGACTCTCTGGCAGTCTATAAAGTAAGGTGATTAGATTCAGTGGCTCTCCAAAGATCCTTTCAGTTCTATAGCTATAGTGCTATGATTCTATTAATGCTACCATATATGTACCCCAAATCATTTGAGAAAATTTTTCTTGGTTAGTCATACTTTATGGAAAAAATAAATAAAACCCAACCAGACAGCAAAACAGAATATACACAGGTTCTAAGAAATGAACATGTAAATAAGAAATGGGGGTCGGGTAGCATAATTGGATACAATGTTACAACGAATTGGTAAAAAATACCTGAAGCAAAATATTGTTCAAACTCGGGATTTATTTAGTTTCACATGGAATAACAGTTGGGCCTCTTTTAGAAAGTCAGGATGGGTTTAAAATGGTCACAAAGGCAGAGACAGCCAGCTGACCTTTACTATCCATTCTCCTGTCCTTGAATATCAGGACTCCTGAGCGTTAGCTGAACATATCGCTGCCAGCCAGAATGATTTCTTTGTTTCTCTTGCAGGTAAGTGTGACCAAGGAGTGTGTGAGCAGAAATGGTATGTGCCACTCCTGGGTTTTGTCCCTACAACCAAAAGGGGCATGCGTTCCCTTGGCACTTTTGTGCTTCTCCTAGCTGGAAGAGGATGAGATTGGAAGCTGCCATTTGAACCCACAGATGTTAGCCTCATGCTGAGGATGGCTGAGCTGCCCTTCCAGCCCTGGATTGCCTACCAAGACAGAGAAGTAAATTTCTGTCTTCCTGTAATGACCACATCAGTAGTTCTTCTCAACTGGATACTCAGACCCTTAAGATTTGTACAGGTCATACCTGACCCAGTTTGCTCTTAAAATCTTTAATTTTTATTTTGATCCAAGTTGTATCCGCATATTTGAAGAAAACCCTGAGGGCCAATAGGGCAACACCAGGCACGCTTCCCCAGCAGGAAGTGCCCTAAGACACAGTGGACCAGAGGCTAGTGTCCTGTGACCACACTAAAGTGTTAACTCAGATGCAAGAGAAAGAAGCCAATAAGGGTGGGTGCGACAGGCTCCCTGGCTTAGCTGTCCCATGTTCCCGACATCTCTTGGGCTTATCTTCTAGGTGTCCGCAAGGGACATGCCCACTTGAAAGAGGCACAAAACCCAAGAAAGCCCCATGTTCTGGTTTCCCACCAGTTATCCTCCAATTCAAGATGCAGCATACCAATCAGGGGTCGTACTAGACAAGCGATGTTACCTGATAATGCATCCTACAGTCCACCTTTATCAGGCTACTAGGGGAAGAAGCGAAAGAGTTAAGCCAAGGCCAGTTTCCCAATAAAGAAGAGAGGGTCGCTAACCCTTACAACACACCTTGCTTATTATGTTCACTGTATTTTGGCATCTCTTTGAAAGAGCAGTTTGCTCATGCCCTAATTAACAAAGTGATATGCCGGCCTCATATGTCCCCTTCCAAATTGCCATTAGAACTTTTTTTTTTTTTAAGATTTTTATTGGGGAATTGGGGTATGGGAACAGTGCTGGGGAATTAGGGGAAGGGGAACAGACAAGTTGCTGTCGTTTTTGTTCTTCAGTCTAGTTGTGGAGGATGTTGCTTCACTGACCCAAGTTGGCACCATCATTGCGCTCTTCCCGGGTGAGGCAGATAAGTCGCCGGCTACTGGACGGCCGCTCACAGTGGCTGCTGGCCGCTCACGCTGGCTGCCGGCCACACACGGTAGCCCATGGCAACCCACTGCCACAGGGGCTGCAGCCTACGCCGTCGCTGGTGACTCACGGCAGCCCAGCTCCAGGTTGAGCCGCTGCTCAGCATCTTAGCTGCGGAGGGCAGTGTCACTGACCGTCATATGTGGGATCCGAACCAGGGCCCTCTGGCATCCCAAGCCAGTTCGGCCGGCCCTAGAACTCTTATAAGTACATACAGCAAGAAAAACACACCAAAAAAACACATAATTTAAAAAATATGACAAAGCAGAACCAGGAATAAATTTCTCCAGACTGCAGTGTTAAGAAACTCAACCGCGTCTTATCTATGCTATAGTCTCTAAAAAACAAATAGCCTGGGCGAGGGGCAGGTGGAGTATGTGAGTGCATTAGTTCATTCCCAGTGTCTGCGTGTGGCTTAGACTGCCAGCACTGCTCTGACCAGAAACCGTGCTCTTGCTTTATGCTTTGAGAGGGTTTGGGTACCAGGCACTGCTGCAACTCAGGCAAGTTGATGCTTGTCTGCTGGCTCAGCTTATTGGTGTGGGGCAGCCAGTCAGGCCCGCAGCTTCTTCAGCTCCTTCAAATTCCCTGTCTGGTTCCCTGATTCCTGAGCTGTGTGCAAACTTAGCTCAGCGATGATGGGCTCGGGCTTCTGCGGCAACTCCTTGGAGAGGACACAGACCAATGCAGGACACGGGTACCGTTCTACATTCGTGAGTTCCAGCTCATCAACTTCCAGGCTGACCTTGCCTTTCACTACTTCCTGTCCATCTTCCCTGCCCAGCTGCCTCGCTGCTGTCTTCAGGCCCCAGCTCCACATGCAAAGCCGACAGCCTCTGTAGATTACCTCGGTAGACTGTGTAATTAGCTCCCACAACTGCAGGTCAAATCCTCTAATAAAGCCCTTTCCTGGTGGCTTTGCTTCTCCTACTGAACCCTGCAAGATACAGGGCTGTTGACCCAACCGCGCTCAATATGTCAGTGCTGGATAAGAATGATGCAGACGCCTGTTGTGAGCTCCAATAGGAGAACTGGAATGGCGGCCCCATGGTAGTGAAGCCAAGCCTAGAGAAGACTTAGTCACAGCGCTGCCAGAGAGACAACACCTCTAAGACCTGGAAGTTTATATTTTGAACCAATATTCAGGGCTGTTTTCCTTAGACAGAATCTATGGGTCAGGGGCCCAAGTAGTAGTGGGACTTCTCACTATTAAACTCAATGATTTTGCTTTCCCTTCCCGAGAGTGTGGGCTCTGTTGGTTTAAAAACCCTACTACTGGTAAAAAGGATGATTTCAACAAGGGCACAACAGTGGTTCTATAAACCAGAATCTGAGCTTGCTTCTTCTCCGTTTTGGGCTCCTTGCGCCACTGAACCAAAGGCATAAGTGGGATTCCAATCTGCCCTGTGTTATTGTTGATGATCATCAAGAGGGGTGGGGGCAAAGAGAGTTGCTGCTTTGTAATAATGGTGCACGGGCTGTCATTCAGCCATGCCTTTCTGTGAATTAGACACAAGTGGACACAGCCCTGCAGTGGACACACAGCCTGGCAAGCAGAGTGCAGACTGAAGGAGGGTCTGAAGCAATCTTCTCATTCGCAGTCTTATACTTCTAACTTACTTATCTTGCCTAATTGCACTGTATAAGCCTGAATGCAATGTTAATAGGTGTCCTTATCTTATTCCTGACTCTTAAGAGGACTGTCTCCATTGGTTTACCACTAAGTATGATGGTAATCTCTGTCAGCTCTATCTCAAAAAATACCTGAGATGCTGACCACTGCTCACCACCCCCTCAGTTACCATCCTGGTTTAAGCTACTTGGACCACTTGCATATTGCCCTGTCTTCCTACTGGGTCTTTGTGCATCCACGGTGGCTTTCCCAAATTCAACTCAACAGAGCAGCTAGACTGATGATCCTGTTTAAATGAAAATCAGATCATTTCAGCCCTCCGCTCGGAACCTCCAATGGCTTCCCAGCCCAGGCAGGGCAAAAGACAAAGCACTTCCTTGTCTATAAGGTACGGTAGAGCGGAAGATGCCGCTCTCGGATCTCCCCTCAAGGAGGGACTCTGCCCTGTGGCAGGGAGTGTGCTTAAGTGACAGCTTTCAGTTGCTAGCCTCTTCAGCATCGCCTCGACTATCTAGCCGAGATCATGTTCTTTGAAGGGTGATCTCCAATCAACTGGCTGAGCAAGGAGCTGCTACAAGGGCGCAGCCATTTCTGCCTCAGTCAGGGCTCTTCTAATGGGCCATGCTTGTTCCAGGGCTCCCCAGAGAGAGTTTGCAGATTACATAATGGCCTAGGGCTTCTGCTGCTTAGTATGTTCACAGGTATTCTCCCTCGTAATCCATGGGACTCCTAGTTCCATCTCAGCATCTACTTTCTGGAGATGAGTGCCAAGCACCCCCGGCACTCTCCCCCATCTCTGCTCCAGGCCCACTGCGCCCTTGTTATTCCTCAGATAGGACAGTCCTGCCTCAGAGCTTTCCTGCTCCGCATGCCCTCTGCCGGGATCCACCTTCTGCAGATTTCTCCACAGCACTCTCCCTCATATCCTTCAGTGCTGCAGCCTTCTCTGGCTACTCTATTCAAAAGGACACACAGACCGCATCGCGTACACTGGCTCCACCCCACATCCCTGCTTTGTTTTTCTCGATAGCATTTCCAACCATCAAATATGCTACATGTTCTATTTGTGTATCTTGTTTATGTTCAGTCTCTCCCTACTGGCACGCAAGCAGAGAACCCTGTGTCTTTTTTCTTCTCTTTTTTTAGCATCCAGAAGAATACCTGACAGCCAGATATGGTATAACCAACAGAGAAATGCTTCCCACCCAGACTCGTCTCCATTCTGTTTCTTCTAATTTTGCAACCATTTGTGCAATGCTGTCTTTCCCGTATTTGTTCCCTGAGTTGTGCCTGTTTCCATTTCACCTCTTCCTCCTTCTGGCCCTCCCCTTCTGACATCTCTCCCCAGAGTGCCTATACTCCCATATTGCTGATTTTCCTCAGCACCTCATAAAATTGCATTTTTTAATTCACAAAGGAATGTTTAATCATAGTTTTCATCTGTTCCTGCACCCTTTTTCTGAGTGTTCTTCATTTGTTGGAAAATTTTGTTCCCCTTTTTATTTGTTCATCTCACAACATTTTTGTGTGGAGGACGTGTCTAGCTCTTCTTATTGTTCATATTAGAAAGAATTGGCTTTCCTTGGATCAGTTATCTGTAGAGAGTTTCTGCCAGATGTGGCAGAGTGTGTGTGTGTGTGTGTGTGTGTGTGTGTGTGTGTGTGTGTGTGTGTGTGTGTTTGTGTGGTGGGAGGAGGGGTGGGCTTGGAACAGGGTAAGGTCTAAACTTTGAAATGGAAGGACTCCCTACTCCATTGCTACAGCAAGGGGCTGTTACCTTCAAATAAAAACCCTGTTTGGTGCAGCTGGGCCTCTTTTCCCTTTTCAAAACGAATCAAGTTCAGGAGGCTTCTACCACCAGCCCTTTTCTCCTCAGCTCCTCTACCAATAGCAGTCTCCAAGAAACATGGCCGTGTTTTTCAAGGTAACACCATCACCTTGAAAAGGGTGTTTTCTTGAAAATATCTGCTCCCTCTGGACCTCCTGGGTGCTTTCAGTGCCCTTTCTCTCCACCTCCACAGCATCCATGCCCTGTTCTATCCCAAGTCAGTGCACTGCCTTCTCTCTAAGGAGGATTTCTGAAATTGGCCTACCTCACTGGCCTCCCTCACCTCACACTTTGTCACTCTCCCCAACCACTGTCATGCCAGCTCTGCATGGCTTCCTGCACCGTTCCACCTGTCTCCATGGATTTTGCCTGTACTTCTATGTAACTTGGAGTGCATGATTTTTTCTTAACTAAAAAATTATTTCTTTTTGCTTTACCTTTTTCGGAAAAGAAGAAAGATGCAGAATGGAATTGTAACCTTGTTCATACTAAAAGGTTTATTTCACATTTAACTGACTAGAATAGCATGAAATATACCCACTCCCCTGCATATAGCCATCTAAAATGATTCTTAGATGTAAAATAACATTTACCTCATACTTCTTCAATTCTTGAGTTAACTTTTTTTCTTTGACGATAAATTTCTCCTCCTCTTGTTTTAATTCTGCTATAATTTGTTCAATCTCTGCCAAATATTCATTGACCTCTTTTTCTCTAGAACTGGTCTAATTAGGAAAAAAAAAAGATTTGTTGTTTGTCTTATAACAGCCATCCCTACATTTTCAAACAACCAGGTAAATTAATATCTCTCTGCATAAGATTTGGCTCTGATTTCAGGTCATTATTTCTCAGTAACCACTGAAAGAAATTTTTTTCCTTCCAGAGATTAATTTCCTCACCAAACAATGTCTGCAAATGACAGGAGGAAATGGGGAATGGGAGTGGCAGAGGACGGAGGGTGGCAGAGGATAAATATAGGAGCTAAATAAATGATGTTTGGTTTCTTTATTTTTAGAAATAGATTTTTGAAAAACTATTGTGTTTCTGGTTACAGCTTTCAAAAGCATTTTCTGTAGAGAATTGCTACTTTGCTAAATTCCTATAGTTAACACACAGCAAATGGATACATTTCTTAAGAAAGTTACACAATTCACACAAAGGAAAATACCTTTTGGCTATATTAAATGTTGAAGGAAAATTGCTGACAGGCAATATAGGGGACTAATACTAAGTCCATTAAGTTCCCAATTATTACCTCTTGTAATAATTGACTGCGTCTCAATTCTGCGACCTGAATTTTATCCATTATTTCTTGTAATTCAGCTTGTAAGCTGTCTATCCATCGTGCATATTTTTTTCGCAAACAACCTAATCTCCACTGATTTATAATACTAAAGATTAAAACAAAAAGAGTTATCATGAAATTGATGTAACAGTCTACTGAAAAGATGAAGGAATTAAAAACAAAACAAATTCTATGATTACACAAAATTGCATGTGCCATTGATGATGCAGGCTATGCACATTAGCTGAAAGAATAAGATAAAACAGTAACTGCCTCAATGCCACCTCTGCAAGTTGTTTCAAAGTTAGAAGTTGTGTTGACATAGTCAATAGGAAAATGGACAAACCACACTTGTCAGCTCGCTGCCTTTAGGTAAAGGATAGAAATGGGAAAGGTTCAGGGACAGGTGGAAAAAGAAGAGGCTCAGGCAGAAATAGTAATGCAGCCACCTAAATTATTCAAAGTGCTACTAAGAGATTTCAAGCTTCTGGGTTCTCAACCACAACATAAAAAAGCTACATAATTGGAAAGGGTAAAAATATGCAATTTGAGTCTTATAGATAATATCAATAGCAATGAAAACAACAGCAGCAATGATAAAATAGGGCTAAGTTTTCCCGAGTGCTTCCTAGATGCTAGGGGCTGATCAAAGTACTTTACATGGATCATCTCATTCACCATTCACAGCAACCTGACAAGTCAGGTGCTACTATCATTATCCACTTTATAGGGATGGGAGTGGAGAGATTATTAAATAACTGAGCCTTGGTCACGGTCACAGAGCTAGGAAGAGGCAGAGCAACGAAAGCAGTCCATCTGCAAAGCCTGTGGTCTTCACCACTCTCTCCTCTGTCCTGTGCATCACCTCCCCTACTGGTCCACGTGGAAGTTTGGATGAGCAAGAGGCACTGCACAATCTGGGCAATTTTACTCTTTGGTGACTTCACTGGATTAAAATGGGAAACTTTGGTTCTGTTCCATGCCAAAACAAAACAAAACAAAACAAAAAAGTCAGACTAACATACACATCTAGATCTGAGAGAACTCACATAATTTAACTTAGGAAAATTAGTTCCTTGGATTCTAGCAACTAACAAGTATTCTGATTTCTTCCCTACTTCGGGGCACTGTTCATTCAGATAACATACTATTTATAACACACAGGGACTTTTTTTTTTTTTACCATCTCTGTTTTTCTCTTTCCAGATTATCATTCAGGATTCTTATTTGTTTCTGATAGATACTCATTGTTGATCTAAAAACAAGAAAAAATGTATTGGATTTGTGGGAGATGTTAGAATACATAAAAGACTTTATCTGTAATTCTTATGCACAATAAGGCTACCGCCTAATTAGGAGACAAAACATTTTGTGAAACAACTAAAGAGGTTAGTGGCAGACTAAGAGGAAAATAATTATAATTCTGTGCAAGCGCAAGCTGGTTTTGCAAATATTGAGGTGTGTCCCCAAGGATAGACAAGAACAGATTCTGGAAAGGCTGTTGGGGAGAGGTTCTATGGCTTAATAGAAGGAGGAACTTGGGTTGCCAGAATGGAGGTGCAATCTCATCAAGAAAGGACGTCATCATTTGCAAAGACAGCGGAAAGGAACAGCGAGTCAGGGCTCTTTTGACCAAAGCAGACTCGCTGCATACGGAAAACACAAAGGGAAATAACACTGTGACAACAAATTGGTGAGGAACTCTGGATTTTAGATTGAGTTATGATTTGATGCATTGTGTAATTCAGAGAGTGAACAGAGATGCTTGAATAAAGGGTAAAGAGTAATTAAGAATGGGAGATTTTCTGGTGAATCCAAAGTGGATGAAAATGTGAAGGCTCTAACATAGGCATTAGAAGCTTTTATTCTTTGTATTCCCTTTTTCCCTATTAAGCGCTTCATGCACTGAGATGAATTGAAGGCCACATAAGTAAAACGTGACTTTATATCTTTTTGAAAGATAGAAATATTCATAAATGAAACTTAGACTATGAAATGCTGTTAAATAAACTAGAAGCACAACTGCACTCATATTTTTTCTCTATTTGAAAATCATGGACTCTCAATTTCCTACCTAAATAAACCTAATATTGGCCCCTGGAAATGCAGCATTCTTCACAATTTGTCCCAACCTTATTGATTTTATTTATTTACACATCTAATTTAATCCACAAAGGAGTTGAACTAGTTTAAAAATAAAACAACAGTAATATAAAAAGTCCTAAATGGATACCAATATTGGGCCACAAATTTGGCTCTGAGCTTCCTGGTGGCCACAGGAATGATGACACAGTAATTGATTATAAATTTGCATTATTCACGAGGAAAATAAAACCCGCCGACCCAATTCTATTTTCCTGTTCTTCATAGGGAAGAGTTTATAGTTTCCTTTCTGAAGCTGACATGATAAAAAATAAATGTTTAAATACATTATTTTAAAGTATATGGATAAGCAGTCAAAGAGCTATACTTCCTACCATGCTCTACATTTCTGTTGGTGTGTGCCAAATTTTCATCACCGCCCATCTTAGTTTTCTATAAGTTGCTCTCTTCACTGTCCTGTATTCAAATTATTTACCTCCCTGTGTGTGGTGATATTATTCCCCTATTTGATAAGCAAACAGAAAAATCTGACTTGCTTTTAAGGGCCCAGTTAAAGTTTTAAATCCTTAAATAACACAGAGGAACTCCTGATTTCACCTTCTTTCATCCTCTGATTATTTTTAATAATTCACACTATGCTTCCGTCGTACAGTGTTCACTGGTATGGCATGTGTGTTAGTCTTGCTCTTCTGCCCAACTGAGGTTGCTCTATGCCCAATATTAGAGTGTTAAAATGGTAGAATATTTATGTAGGGCCTTTTGATAATAGTTATAAAAATGAAAAATATGCAACCCTCTTTGATCCAGTAACTCAACTTTTAGGACTTGATTATAAAGAAATAGTCACATAGGTGGACAGAAATACGTTAAATGATGTTAACTTTGAAAATTGTTTGCAATATAGGAAACAGAAAAAACCCAAATGTCCATCAATAGCGTACTGGTTAAATAAAATACAGTATAATCTATAAAAACATATTATGCAGTTAGAGAAAAGAATGAGGAAAGCGGTCCCATATATTTGATTTTTTTTCTTTATTTTGAAGTAGTTTCAAATTCAACAAATAAGTGTAAAAACTAGTACAAAGAATTCTCATATATCTTTCACCAACTTCTCTAGTTGTTACCATTTTACCATATTTGTTTTATCTCCCAGGTATATTTTTTTCCAGCTTTATCGAGATATAACTTACATATAACATTGTGTAAGTTACCCAGACATAATTTTAAGTGGAAAAGCCAGTTACAGAAGAGTACAATCCAAGTTTTGGAACACACACACACACACACACACACACACACACACCTATATATATTAGAAAGCACATATAGCAAACTGTTAACAGTGATTATCACTGTGCAGAGATGGAGAGATTAGGGTAACTTTCATTCTCTAAGTTACACACTTTTATATTTGGATTTTAAAATCAGGTATAGGCATTACTTTTTTTTAATCAGAAAAACAAAAATAAAAATTAAAGTGATTTAGAATGGCAGAAACCAACATCCTGGAGGGTTGGCATTGTAATAATGTTCAGGCACATCCTTGTCACTAGACCCCTAACTGGTCCATTGCTTCTGTCTAGCAACTTGTACAGAACTGAGAACCTGTCTACCATTTCAATGAAAGATTCAATGATAATGACTTTTTTGGACTATAAAACAAAGAGAGCTAGGGCCGGCCGAGTGGCTCAGTTGGTTAAGAGCTCACTCAAGAGTTTGAGCTCTGAGCAACGGCAGTTCGAGTCCAGCCTGAGCTGAGCAGCCGCTGAGCTGCCAACAGGTAGCAGGATGGCTCAGCTAAAAACAACAACAACAACAACAAAAAAAAAACAAAGAGAGCTAAATATCAACCTCTTTTTTTTATGGTATATTAGAAACTGACATAAATTCATTGTTACTATTTAAAAAAAAATAAATGCAAAGAAGAAAGGTTAAAAATTTGAAAGGCAACGAACATACCGGTGAAGGTCACCAAGTGTGACAAGTCCTTCTTCCATATTTTTTATGTCTACTTTTCTTTGTGATAGGAAGCCTTCTTTCTGAGCAATAAATATCAGTTGTTTCTGACTTCTACCATGAAGAGAAAAACAGAGTTATCGTATATTAAAGATTGAAATAATGATTTTTAACTCCTCAGCACGAGAAAATATGCCATCACAAATAAAAATTCAAAAAATTGTTTGGAAAGTTCAGTTCATGAACGATTTATCCAATTAATTAGTAAAAATAGAAACAAAGTCTTTTTGCTTGTGGTGGCTTTATGAAAATTCCCAAGCCTTGAAAATAACATTCACTACAATATTAACCGTAAAACAACAAGAACAGCTCTATACTACTTCATCCCTCTGAGCGGGTATGTCTCTCCTAATACATTTATCAATTTTGCTGTGTTCTTTTGTGAAAGGTAAAGGAGTCAATCAGACCAATTTTGAATACTGGCTCTACCTCTTCCCAGGGGTGTGACCTTGAAAAGAAACTTTCCCTGTGAATGAGCTTCTGTCTCCCCATCCATAACATGGGAATTACAATACCTATCTCACCAGGTGTAAGCATTAAATGAGATGTAAAGTGCTCAAGCTAGTGGGTGGCATCCATGAGGCATTTTATAAAAAGTGGCTATTTTTTTTTGTCTCTAACTTGCAGAAAGAATAGTGGGACCAATTTATGGTTTTGTTCACATTTCCAGACATTGACAGGAATGTGCCTGTAACAGAAAGTACTTTACGTGTCTTGTCTTCAAAACTGCTATGGACTAAATTGTGTCCTCCACAATTTCATATGTTGAAGCCCTAACCACCAGTGTGATGGTATTTGAAGATGTGTTCTTTGGGAGGGGATTAAGTATAGATGAGATCATGAGGGAAGGACCCTCATGAAAAGATTATTGTCCTCATAAGGAGAGACACCAAAGTGCCCGCGCTCTCTCTCTCTCTCTCCACCATGTGAGGACACAGTGAGAAGGTGGCCGTCTGCAAACCAGGAAGAGAGCTCTTGCCAGAACCTGATCATGATAGTATCCTGATCTCAGATATTCAGCCTCCGGAACTGTGAGAAATAAACTTCTATAGGTAAACTACCCAGTTTATGGTATATTTTTATGGTAGCCCAAGCTGAAGAAGACAAAAACCAATCATTAATAAATATTTTAGTGTTACAATTATGTACAGTTTATGTTTCAAACCGATAAATAACTTAGTACTGATCTGAGAAAAGTTTGTGAAGAATATTAACAGTATCATTCTCAGTAGACTGTTCAATTGGATGAGATAAAATGATGGCGACAACTCTCTGCAGCTTAAGGGCAACAACGATGACAGTAACCTCAGCTTCACATAGTGGGCCTGGACACTGTAATTACACTTCCACGTGATTAACTTTAAGTGTAATCATAGATTATTACTTATATAATGTATGTTTGCAAGATATTATTCTTTAATATTCATTAAGAAAACACTGGTGAATGCCCACAACCTGCCAAGCAATGCACAAGGCCTTGGGGATACGGTTCTGAGTAAGACACAGAAACTTTCCAGATCTGTTCATAGTTCAGTAGGACAAAGGGATTTGTACCCAGTTGATTATAATGTGGTGACTGATGAAAAGGAATGACATCAGAAGGATGTTTCAAAAGGAACATCTGAAAGGAGGTAGAAGGGAGTAGATGAGATAGAGTCTGCAAAGCATAAAGAGGGAAGAACTTTAAGGGGCAAGCCAAACCAAAGAGGCTGAAAGGGGTGAAAAGAATGAAGTTGGAGAGGAGGATAGGACATATTTGAGAAATATTCGGCAGGTGCAATTGACAAGCCGTGGTGTTTGAATGGAGCCCAATGAGTAGTGAAAGATAAGGGTTTCCTTGAATAATTTCCCAATCTCTAGGTTAGAGCATTGTGTCAATGACCAAAAACCCTTCTCTGATATAGGGAATACAGTCAGTTTCTGATGAAAGTAAATCTCATAGTTTCTCTAGATCATCTTATAGGGTAAAAATGTGGTTACTCTTTCAAGAATCTGATTTAGAAATAAAAATAATGCATTTGGTGTTCATGGATTTGATCTGACCTGTGTGAGGAAAGCATTACTTAGTATTACAGAGGCAGATTAGGAGTGTGTTTATTATTGGGCAAAAAATATTTTGTCTTTGCCAATAAATTTTAAAACTAGTATAAGCTTAAGTGGAGAGTCACCGTTTTGATAGCAAGGAAAGCACCCCATAATTATGGCAGGTTGATTCGTGTACGGATCATGAAGAGAAACATACTCATCATGAATCTTTGTTTTCTGCACAAAAGCTTTATCCTCCTCCTGTAAGAAAATCTTATATTGTCTGATGAGAGTATGCAATTTCTCCTGTAGATCTTTGTTCTCTAAACGACATTTGCGTAATTTTTCAACCATCTAGAAATAAGAAAAGGAATTGAAATAGAGGACTAGTTTCACAGTTCCTTTGACTAGAGTCAGGGTCAGGTGGGCAGCTCTCTAGAGGACCAAGCATATTGCTTAGCACACGACTATGGCATAAATAATGAGCAATTTAATTCTACATCAAATATGCAATTAAACATTTTGGGATCTCTTGTATAAATTATGACAAAAGTGTAGAAAGGTAATATGCAAAACCACAGAGTAATAATTCATATTGAAATAAGGATTGGGATTAATAAAGTGGGATCATTCAGCAAGAATTGTGTGTCTCTTTTCCCAGAAGATAAATTACACTGGGGAAAGAAGGTGTAACATCAACAGAAGCTCTTGCTCAAAACCTCTTTGATTGGCTATTATGTTTACTTCTTGTTAAATATTTCTATTCAAGGATAAAAAAAGAGTACTCACTAATGTTCTGAAGGAGGTAAGAACTTTGTGTTTGGATGTCTCTATTGAATTGCTTCAAATGAGGTAAAAAAAAAAGATGGATTTAGTCTGAATGGTGGGCTTCATAGTTCAAAACAAGCTTCTTCGGGCTGAGGCTCACTAAACTAGCTGGATGAAAATAATTTTTTTAAGTGTTGAAGAACTAACAAGATAATGAGGAATTACTAGGCCAACTTCTACAAGAAAGCAAGAATCCACAGTGGTAAAATTAGCACTGAGAACTCCTTTTACCCTGAGGATATTTATTGATATAGAAGGAACCAATGGAAACTGAGTTTTGGTCCCTTGAAACCCTTTGAAAAGGGGGACAAAAATCAACACTTAGAGCCCATCCAGGTGTTGAGTCTGATTAGCCTCCCGCCACTTTAGTCTGGGATCCCACAGAGCTTCACTCTCTGGAGAAGGGTAAATTTGAAGTTAACAAGCCATAGTCAGTCTGACTTCAATCACCAAGGAACCTAAAGGTGAGTTAAAGTGGTTTCAGACGGATAACACAGCATTCACCTGACAGAAGTGAGTAAAAATCTGTTCTTGAGGAAGATACTATCGTCTTAGGCCTCAAATTATTTCTACAAACATTTTTTCAAGTCCAATGTCCAGTCTACAGTTTTCCACCAGGAACAGAAGGAAATAAGACAGCATGAACAAAAACTGGCAGAAACAACAGACTACAGAAGCAGGCTACAGACTACAAAAACATCATGTATTAGAATTAGACACTGAACTATAAAAATACTGTGTTTACTATAATCAAAGCAATATTAGAGATGCTTGAATATTATGTCAAGGAACAAGAAACAGTAGAGTGACAAAGCGGATCTGAAAATTACCAATTGAAAAACACAATAACCAAAATTAGGTACGGAAATAAGACCACTCTTTCCAGAATGCAGCAGGGGGAGACAAAAAGTAGAAAATACAGAAGAGAGAGTAAGATACATAGAGGATATGTATATTAGTACAAATTGGTGTGTGTGTGTGTGTGTGTGTGTGTGTGTGATTGGAGTCTCAGAAAAAGAGGAAAGAGAATGGGACAAAAGAAATATGTGAACAGCTAATGGCTGACAATTTTGCAGAGCTTATAAAATATAGCAATTTGCAGATTTAAAAAGTCCAATAAATCCCAAGTGGGATAAAGAAAAAGAAAAACGTGGACATATCATAGTGAAACTGAACAACTAAGTCAAAGGAAACAGAGAAGAGCTAAGATAAATGACAGTTACACCATGTTCATGGGTTGGAACCCCCAATATTGTAAAAATGTGAAATCCTCCCCAAATTAATCTATAGATTTAGTGCAACCTCAATCAAAATCCAAACAGGTTTTTTTGGCAGAACTTGACAGACTGATAAAAATTCAAAGAGCCAAGAATAACAGGAACAATTCTGAAGAAGAACAAAGTTGAAGGATTTATACTACTAACTATAAAGGCTCATTTTTTTCTTTTAATTATTTTTTATTATGAAATACACATGTTTTAGAATTAGTTTCAGCCGTACAACACAGTGCAATAGTTTATACTTTTTACCCCTCGAAGTGACAACCACTTCCCCCCAATATCATACATATCTATTACAATTCCCTTGACTCCACTCCCACACTATACTCCACGTCCCATGACTATATGTGTGTGTGTGTGTATATATATATATATATATATATATATATATTCATATAAAGGCTTATTTTAAAACTACTAATTAAGACAGAATGGTTTTAGTGTGAGGAGACACAAGTTCTAATGAACAGAATAGAGAGTCCACAGATCCACACACATAGTTATGATGTATTTATGACCCACACTTGTTTCATGACAAAGGTGCCACTGCAATATAGTGGAGGTGAGAAACATCTTTTCATTAAATGGTGCTAGTTAATGGGACATTCTTATGAAAAAATATGAATCTTGATCACCATCTCACAGCATACACACACACACACACACACACACACACACACACTCCAGATGACTCGTAGTCCTAATTGTTTAAGGTCAAACAATAAAACTTCTAGAAGATCACGTAGGAGAATATCCTCATGACATGGACACAGAAAGCAATAACCAAAAAGGAAAGGATTAGTAAACTGTACTTCATTAAAATTAATAAATTACATGCATAAAAAGATATATATGTACATAAAGATTGTACATGTACAGTGTATGTATTATTCTGTATATGTGTAATATTTCATAATAAGAAAGTTAAAGTCAGAATAGAGTTTTGTGTCATCCTAGAACTCATGAGAATTGTGAATGGATGTCATCAAGTGTACAGTTTCTCCCCCAGTGGAAATAAGAAATGGATCAGGGTCTGCCCCTGTGAAGTGGCCGCTCACTGGTCCTCATGGACTGTATTAAAATTACACTGTTGGTAACCACTTTGAGCACCTCTTGTAATTGCAGAAGTCAAACATGACTTGTATTCATCTTTTGTTCTTGGTATATATTGAGTATTACAATTTTAATACAGTTTTTTCCTTTCTTAAAATATGTATACATTTTTTTGGCACCCTCTGTATTTCACTAACGTTATCAAGTACAAAACGGTTTGCTACACAAGTACCACACAACAGCAAGAAGGTCCTAATCTTTCTAATTAAGTCACATGAAAAATGTCCATTAGTCATGGACATTCCTAATGTAAAATATCTATACCCACATGAAAAGTTACCAAAAAAAAATGATTCATCTTCACAAGGACAACCTTTGATCCTTTATATATTTAAAGAGCTTTGGGAGGGGATAAATTTTTAAATCTATTACTGTGAATGATCATAATTATTATTAGTTAATGAAAAATATACTTTTGGAAAAGTTCACTTTCCTCACATATATTTAAAACAGTAACTAAAAATAAAATCTAATTATAATCTAAAAATCATCATTTCTGTTTTCCTACCTCCTTTATCTTCTGCAATAATTCATCCTTTTCAGTATCAGCTAAACTATCCATTGTTTCCTTGTTCTTCTTAAAAAACTGTCTATGAACAAAGGAAGCCAAACAGATTCATATTAAAACATGTTTTCCAGCAAACCCACATCTCCCTACATAACATATTTAAATATTCATTTAAATAGACAAAATATTTTACTCTTTTGAATTGATGAATTAATGATTCATTATTTTATTCAATCATTTAAGAAACAACTATTGAACACCTGTACTTTGCAGGTGTTATAGGTACTAGAGCTGCAGTTATAGGCAAAGTACCCACTCTCAGAAAAATCACACTTTAGTGGAGTAGTCAGAATATAAGCTAGTTAGCAAAAAACCAAATAAGTAGTATATTTCAGATTGTGTTACATGCTCCAAAGATTACAAAGTAGGGTAAAGGATAGAGAAATCCTGAGAGCAAGGATGCTACTTTAGACAGGTTGTTAGGGAAGTCATCTTGGAATGACTTGTGAAAGACCTGAACGATGAGAAGGATCCAGATATCTGAAGATCTGAAGGAAGAACTCTTCATGTAGAAGGAACAGCAGGTGATAATATCCTGAGGCAGTAATTTGCTTGGTGTATTTTACAAGAGGAGCATGAGAAGGCTGGAGAGGTAGACAGAGGCTAGATTATATAAGGTCTTGAGGACAAGATAGAAGTTCAGGTTTTATTTTGAAGGGAACCAGGGAAGGATTTTTAAAGCAGAGGAGTGATATGAACTGATTCACATCTTGTAAAGATGACTCTTGCTACTTAGTGGAGAAAGACAACAGTACAGGAAGACAAACCACACAGAAGTCTACGGCAGTCATCAAGAAGAGATAATAATGGCGGTGGTGAGAAATACATTGGATTTAAGATATATTCTGAGGAAGGCAGCAGGATGTGCCTTTGGATTTGGCTGGAGTTTGAGTTGGTTTAGGGTTACATAGTGATGACAACAGGAATGGTGGGTGACTTCTATGTCCTTGGCTGTATTAACTAGGTAAATGGTGCTATGGAAGGTTGAAGAAAGAGCTGTTTCAAGGAGGTAGGAAATTGAGGATTCTTTTTAGGACATGTTGTATTTAAGATATCTCATAGATATCCTCCACAGGGAGAGGTCAAATAAGCTGTAGAGTATGTGCATTTAGAGGTCAGGGCTGGATATATGAATTTGGGAGTCATTGGGATACAGAAGAAATTTAAAGCCATGATACTGGATGAAATCATACATGGAGAGTGTGAATAGAGAATAGTGAAGAACTGAGAACTCCAAAATTTTAGAGTCAGACAGAATTAGAACAAGTAAAGAGTCCTGAGAAGGAGCAGTGTAGTGAGTATAATAAGAGAATGTGATTATCTATGTCAAATTCTGTTAAGAATTCAAGAACTTTAAGGAATAGACTCAATCACTAAAGTTTGGCAGGATGGGCGTCACTTAATAACCTTGACAATTTTGAAAACTTTCATTCCTTTAAAAAAAGCATCTATAATTTTCATAGCCTCTTGCACTGTAAAGGCATTATATACTTTGGGTCACAAATTGGATGTCATTGATATACAGCATTTAGCTTTCAATCCCCCACCTCCCATGTGTTGAAAGCTGAATGACAAAGAAAGATCATAACAATTTAGAAAACTAGGCACTGATTCGCCTGTACTCTGTAAGTGCATCATGCTGGATGCTGATAATAATAAAGAGCAAGGATTAAACTATCAACACCTCCTGTGGACTTGTGGAGCATTTGAGGTACTCTTAATGTCTCTATATAGAATTTAAACTCATGATGGAGTGATTTTTGTTTTTCCTCAATATTTTGACCTCAAAATAGGTAATAAGCTTATATGTTAAAGATTTCATTGGATGAAAATTAAGGTTTATATTGGGTTATCGGAAAAGTCATGAGGTATTTTGTCCATGTTTTTCAAAGGTCATTTGTTTATATAAAGAACAAAGATCAATCAATGGTATATTGCCCATTTTGTTCAATTACCTTTTGTCATCTTTCTGTGAGCTTCATAATTTCTCATTCATAGAAGGACCTGTCTTTATTTGCGAAAAACTGAACAAGGTGCTGATTTACAGCCTCATCTGAATTGAACGTTATACCACACAAGGAGTTTTGAAGAGAGCAAAACAAGTGGAAGTCTGATGGTGCAAAGTCAGGCAGGCAAGTATGGTGGGTGTGGCAACACATCCCATCCAAGCTCCAATAATTTTTGATGGGTGATCAAACTTGTGTGTGGTCTCACGTTGTCGTGATGGAACACAACTCCTTCACAATTAACAAGCTCTGGACCTTTCTGGATGATGGATTCATTCAAACTGTCCAATTGCCGACAGTACACATTCGAATTGATTGTTTGGTTCCTTGGTAGGAGCTCGAAAAACATGCAACACCTTTAAAATCCCACCACACTGAGAACATAACCGTCCTCTGATGAGTCTGCTTTTGATGTCATTTGAGGCAAATCATAACATCGGGACCAAGACCATTTGTGCACCACGTTGTTGTGAGCAATCCACTTCTCATCACCAGTTATCAGTCGTTTCAAAAAAGGATTGTTTTCCTCACGTTTAATGAGCATGTTGCAGGTGTTTATACACACCATCAAATGAACTTCTTTGAGTTCATGCGGAACCCAAATATCGAGCTTGCTTATGTATCCCAGCTTCTTCAGATGGTTGTGAAGACTTGAATGACAGATGTTCAATGTTTCTGCAATCTCTTGTGCCTTTATTTTGTCGTCATCAATCTCGGTGGGCCTCCCTGACCGAGGAGCGTCGTTGAGATAAAAATCACCAGTTGAGAGAAAAATCGTGAGCCATCATTGGCACTGACATTCTTGTAGAGCATTGTCAATGTAAACTTTATGCAACTTTTCACAAGCTTGCTTCACATTCTTCCCTTTATGGAAGTAAAACAGTAAAATATGGCAAAAATGCATAGTTTGGTCTTCCATCTTCAACTTGTAAAATCTCCAAAACTCAACCAAATTGTTCAATTTTTTTTTAGAATGAAGCTAGAACTTTCAGCTGTCAAATGTCACAGCAATAACATAGATACAAATGCCTCTAGTACTTCCAAAAATGAACTAGTTTCATCTGTTGCAAACATGTGTCATGACTTTTCCAACAACCCAACAGATTATGAGGTGTGCAAATTATTTTAGTTTCTTGTATAATTTATTTATAAAGAATCTTAAAAAAACAAACCACTATTTGATTCTTCAAATCCACCAGGCAAGAAAAAGGCTTCCTCTCCCTACCTCCATAAAAAGAGAAAATGAACTAAGTAAGAAAATAAAAAGAACACAGAGAATTTTTTTGATTTGATTTGCCAAGTATATAAAAAGTAAAAAGGAAAAAGTAAAGTTTTATCAATAAAAAGGAGGGCAACCTATATCCTCAATCATTAATCAAAAGCACTTTTCCTCAGTGAGATTCCACATGAATAAAAACTCGATAAGCTGGGATTGGAAAAAAGAAAAAAGATGAACCATTAAAAATGGAAAATCTACGAATCCCCATTTTCTCCTTGAGCATATATTTAAAACAAGTTAGCTAACATGAAGACTGTTTATAAATAAACTTAATCGGTGTGGCAAGATTTTAAATCATAACTCCTACAAATAATTTGAGAGCTAATATATATCCTCTACTATGATACTTTGCCTAGATTTTCTTATTACATATATGCAATAAAACTGTTGAATTGCTTTTGAAGAAAAAGATTTTTTATTCTGAGTTTTCATTGTAGTAATGCCTGAGTTTTCCCATTTTAAATCTGGCACTGAGTGCACAGATTATTGTCTATTTTATGGACCGATGAGAATGGTTCTGTGCAATAGCTGTTTCAGAAGACATAATTTTAATCACAATACATTCAAACCTTTTCATGTAGAAATGAGCCATATTACAACAAGATTCCACATGTGAAGTTACTTGTTTTTTGCGGAGTCTGCTCAGCTCACAATTCATCTTTTAAACTGTCAGCGAACCGTGGGGGTAGGCTCAGAAGCCACACGTGTATTACAAGACCCCACCTTCCTGTCCAGAGCTGAGCCAGAGAGCTTCTGATAGGAAATCTGAGAATTCTCCTGTGAGAAAGTCTGTTGGTAAATCTCTAAAGATAGATGGACACGTGACAGGTCAACTCAGAGGGTTTGGAATGACCATGCTTAGCCAGTATCACCAAGAAGAGAACAGAGCATGTAGATAGAGGATGAAACATTTATGCAAAAAATAACAGATTGGGGGCCCTGATATGGACCGGAAGATTTCCTTGTTACTGCTGCCAGGCCCACAGGTAAAAGTTTTTGCCCTGAGGCTTCCCTATATTTTCTCAATAAGTTCTACAAGTTCCCCTTGACTAAGAACAGCTGTAACAGTAGGGGAGTTTGGAGCCTTGTGGCAGGCCTCATATGGCAGGGTCATATCCATTTGCAGGGGGTCAAGAACTGAGTGAGGATTCCAAAGAGTCCTTCCTTTTTCTAAGCTGACTACGTCATCCCCAATATTTTCTTTTGATCATCTGAAAAACTGGTTAATTTCAAAATGAAGCAATGACTCTAGAAGGCTGACAGTCACATACATTTTAGTAAACTAAAGATTAAATTTTCACCTAATACAAATCTTTTTTAATGAAAGAAACACAACATCTAGGAATGCTTCAATAAAAATAAAGTTATCATACTTACATTTTATCCTCCAGGGTATTACAGGACTTCTTCAGTTCTTCGACTTGCTGTTCCCAATGTTTTATTGATTCTTGTAGTTGTGATATCTCTAAATTGTGATCACTAAGAACCTATTGAAAATTAAAACAAATGATGGCATACAATCATCACCAAATGATTCATGACAGCCCTTCAACTCACTAAATATTCATCTGTCACCACTCAGCTTTCACACCGGGGGTGTCCCTGAGTTAAAACAAAAGCAATCATTATAATTGTTTCTTCAAAATACAAACTTGGGGGCCCGCCGAGTGGCGCGATGGTTAAGGGCTGGCTTGGGATGCCAGAGGGCCCCGGTTCGGATCCCACATATGAGGGCCAGTGACACTGCCCTCCTTTAAAAAAAAAAATACAAACTTGGACAGATATAATTCTGAAATCATCAGAAACAAATTTTGGGAGGAAGAGCAACCAAACATAGCAGTGAGGATGTGAAAACTATAAAAACAACTCTTAAGACATGAATTCACTTTGACTATCATTTAAAAAAATAAGCAAATCTATATTTTCATAATTATCTTCAAAATATTATTCTGAAATACTAGAATGAGCATTATAAAAAGTCAAAACAAATTGGGTCTTTTATTTTAATTGATAGCTATGTTTATGCTGAAAAAAGTTTCTTTCTAATATTTAATCAGAAGCTTGGAAATGAAACAACTGGATATTATGAAAAAAAAGTTAGCATGATTTTAAGAAAAGGAGATATGGATGAAGAAAATTCATAGTGAAACAGATATTTTTACAACACAGTTTTGGAATAAAGAAAAGGGCAGGCAAACTTATCAGACACTGTGTCTGCATTTTGGCTTGTGAGGGAGAATGGATCAAATAAATTCCTCTGCTCTCCAGCAGAGGGTTACCATGGATGATTATTTAATGCCATCTAACCCTGCACATCAATGCGGGGGGTCAGAGAAACACCTGTGGGGAGCGCCAGGTGAGACAGGTGAGTGATACCACACCGAAACTATTTCTTTTTCTAATGCATCCAGGTGACTAAACTTCTGGACCATCGCTAGTTCCAGAGTAACAGGGGTCTGAAATCCTAGAACTTTCACCAAAAATTAGCAGAATGTCCAAAGGCCTCTGACCAGTCATCAGGATTAGTGACTAAACGCTGAAGGCCGTCAGGCCTGACATCAGTTACCTCTAGCCCTCAGTCCGGCCTGCCCTGGACATGCAGGCCACCTTAAGAATCACACGCCATTATTCTTTTATGCCAACATGACATCGGCTTGACCTGGCTGCAGAATTTTCTAAACCAAAGGTACCACATGAAGATTAATCTGAAATTCCCTATTTTCTCAATCCATAGTTATAATGTTTTTTTCTAATCTCAGGCAATAACAACAATAAACTTTATCAAATACCAAGTGCTCAGCTAAGCCTTACAGGCTAACCTCAATTGATCTCCACAAAAGCCCTTGGAAGTAGGCAATAATATTACCCCATTTTATAGGCAAGAAAAATTCAGGTTGGTACAGCCAAGATTTGAACCCAGGTCTGTGTGACACTCAAGTTTGTGCTTTAAACACTATTCTCCATTGGTAAGGTGGGATGGGAGTGGACAAATAGAAGAAATAAAGACTCATTATTTCAACTAATTGTGATAGATGATTAACGGGCCTTTCTGTTTTAAGTAACACAGAAGTGGTGTTAACATTAACCTCTTCAATTATAGTCACCTCCATAAGCTTCAGTTTTCTTATCTTTAAAATAAGGATAATTCTCACAAAATATTTATCACAGTACTGGTTTTCACTCAATGTCATTAATTTTTTAAAAAGCAGAACTGCAAAGTTCTGAAGTATTTTTGAATTCAAATAGAAAGTCCCTTTTCCATATTAATGTTCTGGTACCCAATTAAATGCAGAGCCTGAATTCTCTTTTATTATCACACATTCAGAATTAAGGAATCTGTCCATGGTTATTCTTTCTGTTATGTAAAATAAGGTAATATCATAGAAATGTTATACATGGTTCTGTATGCATTTGGTTGGTTCTGTGTGCATTTTTAAAACACCATTTTACAGTATTTTGACCCATCAAATGCAATTTGTACCTAAGGCACACCAAACTTACTTCTTCCCACCATATTCCTGAAAAGAAAATTTAATTCCACTATAACACAAAGTGTTATAAATTGGAAAACGTTAACATGCCAAAAATATTCTTCCAGAATGGCATGAAGATGAATTAAAATCAACTCCTTTTTAAAAACCCCTGCTACCAGTTATATTTAAGGTAGTATATATTGAGGTGCCTGGGTCAGGCTTAAAAAACATAGGTTATTCTTTCTTACCACTGCACTGGTAGCAGCCGTTTCTTTAATTTTTGTAGCTTTGTAATTTAATTTATCCAATTCTTTCTTCTTTTGGTAAGTGTCCTTTCTCTTAAGTTCACAGACTTTTTTATACTCACTAATCTGTAGTGACAAACATAGTAAACCAATCAAAAAGCTTAAGAGGACAACAAAGTTTAGAAAATCTTTTCTTTTTTATTTTGTCAACATAATTCGTATCCAATCTAAGTATACCATATTCAATCTAAGTATATCAACAAATAAAAAATAAATCAGGTTCTGCCTGTTTTACAGCATCATATGAAAAAATAGTGAACCACAGGATCAAATTATAATTATAAAATATTGAAATAGTAAATTTATAAGGGCAAAAAAGCAATGATTATTAATAGCAAATTATAAAAGCAATAGCCATTGTAGCAATTTACGAGTAAAACACCATATCAATAGTTATTGGATTTACAGTCTGCTACACAGATCAGGAGGGTCAAAGGAAGGAATGAAGAATTTTCTGGAAACCTAATTTCACATTATTTAATGGGAAATAAAACAGACTAAAGACAGAGTAAACAAAATCACTAACGATAGGGCAGTTTACAATCCTGGACAAGTTCTTACCATTTTACCAAGACCAAAGATATTCTGATCACTTGTCAGACCCTAATGAAGTCACCCTCTTTTTAAATTTATGTTTTAGCTGAGCCATCCTACCACCTGATGGCAGCTCAGCGGCAGCTCAGCTCGGGCCGGGAATCGAACCACTGTTGCACAGAACTTGCACTCTTGAGAGAGCTTTTAACCAACTGAGCCACTTGGTTGGCCCTGAAATCACCCTCTTATCAAAATCAACCACATCAATGGATTTGTCTGGCAAAATGAATTATCAAGAAAAGGTAATGAACAGAGTAGTAAGGCCTGAGAAAGCATCTTCAACTCTACATTAAGGAGTTATGAAAACATGTGTTTGGGTGCTTTCCATCAAAGCCACCAACCAAAGTCACCCAAAGTGGCTACTCTGAATGAATATGATGATTATCAATTATCTCTGTACCAGGGCACAGGTGAAGGAAACTTTGTGATTAATAAATCTTGTTGAAGATTGGAATTCTGTATTCAGAATTCTTTGGCCTAAGCCTTTTCCTAGGGTCTTGCAACTATAGAAATAATATTAGCAGAAAGTACGTGGTTTTGTATTAGGGAACATCTTATGGGTTTGAAGACTCGCTGACACCTATAATAGTTCTTCCTTTCTCATAGTAAGTAAAGGGAATTCGCAGGCATTACCATGGCCTATCATGTGCCTTCGAGAATATTGGTGGTTGACTTCTTCACATTCACTTCAGTTAGTCTAGCCACCTGCACATGGCATTCCTTTAGGGTCCATTATTGTTCCAGGGGTGGGTGCTGTCTTAACCTGGCCAGATCAGAGCGAGCAAGAAGACACTTACGGTCATTGGTTAGGAAAGGTTTTCCTCTTTTCACTTGAATAAGGAAGCATATAGTCCAGTTGTCACTGACAGCCACCTTGTGACCAGGAGGGAAACCAGCCTTAAGATGAAGGATGGAGGAGAGGTGGGACAAGCCGCTGAATTAACCAGTCTTGGGCACTGCCCTACACCAGGAATTCCTACAGCGTGAGCTAATAAATGCCCTTACTGTTTAAGCCAGTTTGAGTCAGGGCTTCCACTATTTGCATCTGAAAGTATCCTAACTGGTGTCTTTTTCCAGAGAGATAGACCAGAGGTGGACAAACTACTGCCTGCCTGCCAAATGCAGCCACCACCTGTTTTTGTAAAGCTGCTCTCATCCACTCAGGTATTTTTTGGGGCGACTTCTGTGCTAAAATGGCAGAGCTGAGTAGCTGTGTCAGAGACTGTATGGCTCACAATGCCCGAAATATTTACTATCTGGCCCCTTTCAGAAAAAGTTTGCGGACTCTGAGATAGACTATTCACCTAAGGAAGACCCTCTCATGTTTTAAGCCCCTCTGAGCTTCCTTGCTTTAAAAATGTTATACATTTTAACACTTATATTAAAGAATAGGAAAGGGAAAAGAACTTCGCATAGGGCTTAAAATGAAGTTAGAAGCTCATTCATTCAATGAAGTGATATAGAGCGCCTACCACGCGCGAGGCACCCCGGGCCCTGTTCCTGGTGCCGCAGCTGACAAGGAAACAGCCAGAATCCCACCCCCGCTGCGGAGCCTTCCCGCGGGTGGGCAGGACGCAGGTGCCATGTCACCAATAACCAGGGGAATTAAAGACAAGGACAGGGCTCCCCACTCCTCAACCCCTCAGTCCGCTGTGCCCACGTGGACACACCCCACTTTCGGCCCCTGTAACTTAGTGAGCCGCTCCAGCTTGGGGTCTGCACTGCTCAGAGAGAATGGAATTGTGCGTTCAGCTGACCGGAAACAGTGCACCCTCGTCACTAGCGCATGAACACGGTGAACCGCCTTTTGGTTCTATTTCTGAAATTTCCATTTCCTTGTGATAACTCTAAAACCCAGCAAGGTCTCGCCCAGTGATGGGACCCCTCGCTACTTCTGAGTCATGGGTTGCAGTTGATTCCAGCACCGCAGCTCAGGCTGACAGCCGGCTTCAAGCCCTGTGGAGGCCTGGGGAGCTGGGCTTTTACAAATTCGGTTTAGCGGCTACAGGCCCGCCCAAGGGACTCCTTGCCAGCTTCTTCACAAGATGCTTGGTCCAAGGATGGCTAGTGCTATCTATTGTATATTCAAGAAAAACAATCCATGGTTTCACTTTAAAACTATTCCTGAAGATGGAGGTGCTTTGAAGGATAAAGAAGCTTAGACCTGATTGGAATTTTTTTTTTAATTCTTTTATTGTTAGTTTCAGGTGTACAGAACAATGCAATAGTTATCCTTTTCACCCTCACAAAGTAACAACGCCCCTCCCCCATCTACTGCCCTCCCACCCCCGATATCATGTTTATCTATTACAATTCCATTGATTGCATTCCCACTCTCTACTCCATGTCCCATGACTATATGTATATAGTGATTGGAATTTTTGAATAGCCCAAGTCTTATCTTGGAGTCAATCACCATAAGAAACAAATGTCGGTCACTGACAGATTGTAGTCCTCTAAATGTTTAATGAAGATTCAAAAAAAGCAATTTAATCAATGCTCTTTCCTTTCTTTCTTCCTTCCTTCCCTTTCCTTTCTTTTTTTCTTTTTCTTTTTTTTTAAATATGGCAGCGTTGTGAGCCTGTGTCCAATTTCCTGCATTTATAACCTGAGGTTATGGCAACTCCCAACATGGAGAGGGCAGCATCAGAAGCTCCACAGCAATTCTCATCAGGAGCTGGCCCCACTACAGAGTGGGGAAAAAAGACTGATGCCGCGAGCCCCTCGTATGGAAACAGCGCTGCCTCTCCTGGAGTGACAAAAAGCAGAGCAAAGAAGAACCAACAGCAAACCATTCTGATGGTGAATTTTAATTAACGGCCTAGCAGACAGCAAGATGAAGTCGTTATTCAATGCAGCCCCCTCATGAAATTGCTGGTGTCGAAATACCCTTTTCCCTTAGGGCTCTTGCCTCCACCCAGCCCCTCTGTGCAGGCCGTTCCTCTCCAATTCACTCAGCAGGAGCAGCAGGCTGGGGCAGGGCTGAATCTCCTGGTCCTATCCATAAAGGCAGGGCCTCAGAACTGTTGAAGGCAACCTGATGACATGGAAGCAAATTCCTTTTCCCCATACAAGCAAGGGGCCACCCCACTGTTACAAACCTTGTCACTCATATTCTTTCTCATGAACCGAGATGCTGCCCTAGAATCAAATGTCTTCCCTAAGGGGCTCCAGTGTTCTTGAGTCTCTACTCTAGTCCCATCCCAGTGTTCACAGAAGAGACCATGGCAGCGCTCGCTGGCCTTGAGGACAAAGAAATGATTTCCCATTTCCCGCCCGAGACACTGTACAACTCTGTACTATAAAAAATAAATCAATGAGCTCTGAGCAACAGAAGTTCGATGCCCAGCCCGAGCTGAGCAGCCGCTGAGCTGCCAACAGGTGGCAGGATGGCTCAGCTTAAAAATAAGAAAATAAAAATAAAAATAAATCAAGCCACTTACTTCTTCACTCAACATTTTTTTTCTTTTCAAATATTCTGCTCTTTCTTTTTCTATTTGCTCCAGTAAATCTTGAATACATTGTTTTTGCAATTTTATTTCTTCTGTCTTCAAGTTGATTTCGGTATATTTCTCATTGATGTAAACAGTGGTGGTAGCTTTTTGCCCCATTATGTGGTTGAGTGACAGGACAACCTCTTCATGCTGCTTCACCAGCTCCTCTTGCTTTTCACTAGGAAGAAAAAAAATCATTCATGGCATGAAAAGTATGGCTTTTAGGAAAGGAATTTAAAGTTTGGTGAGATGAACCACCATGAAGAGGGAAATTGTAGGGGATACTGATTTTAGAGTTGTATTTGTGATTGCCTAAACTCGGTTGCGATGAGGACAGAAGGAAATACAAGACAAGTGCCAACCTTGTAACTGTTTACCACTGCAAAAATGCCACGTGGTTCCTGCTTCACCCCACCCACCCCCACATATCAGGTAGTAACTATGGGATATTTTGGTTTAAAATACACAATGATTCAAAAACAGTTTTGAACAGATAAATGAAATCTGGCCAGACATGGTTTGATATGTAGCATTGCCACCTCTCTCTTACCATCCTGAGATATGTAGTTAAGCCAAGGAAAGATAAACATCCCACCACCCCTCCAGCCACCTTCTCATGTCATCAACCAACAGGGAGGGCCCAGGAGAAAGCTAGCCTTCCTTTGATGGACAGGAGTTAGGGGAGGAGAGGGCTGAGTCCATCTTCACTGTTCAGAGGATGCTCAAAACCTAATTTGAATCCTCTTATCTTCTCCCAGCAGCAGCCAAATCTGAGTTCAAGAGGAGACACTAACGTCAGACATCAATTGGTTACATCTATTGGAGGAAGACCTTAAGACTGTGAGAAACATCTCCCCTGGGGCTAACAAAAAAGATTTGGAAGAGGGACAATTGGTGTCAGTTCTATGTTTTAATTTTTCAAAAGCTCCTGCAATGTAAAGACCTTTTTCTTCTTTCTATTCCCGAGGGCCAAAGACGTTATTTAGTTCAGGAGGACTTTGTGAAAAGGTTCAGGAAAATGGAAACAGGTTGTTGGTAAGTTCAATTTCCAGAAGTCAACTGCACCACAGAAATGCAATAAAAAGGAGCCTATGCTAGAGGGGGTTAGATAATGAGTGCTTTGAGCAACTTCATGGTAGATGGCTACCAGCATCAGTAGAGGGTGGGTTGAGAAGCTAGCACTTGGAAACCTAATGTGGAAAGTAAGGGAAACACACACCAAAGCTTGCATATATTCAGCTTTTGAGGACTGCCTCCCAAGAGAGGACCACCTGTCAGAGTATGGGCACCTTGATATATAGCTTTCTTTGGAAAATGGGTGCAAGAAGTGATTGTAGCTTGATGACGCTAGCTTATCAAGCAACCCACCTTATGTTTGTAATTTTCCTTTCCATAAAGATTCCTCTAGATCAGTGATTCTCAAAGTGTGCTCAAGAACCTACTAGCGGCATCAGCATCACCTGGGAACTTGTTAGAAACGCAAGTTCTCACCCTCACCTCTAAGACCTACTAAATCAGAAACTCGGGGGGTGGGTATCCCCGGTAATTTGTGTTTTCACAAGCACTCTGGGTAATTCTGATGCACAATGAAGTTTGAGAATCACTGATCTATTGGGGTGTGATGGTGCTGGCCAAGTGACATAAATATTCCAGCCTAGGTATATCTTCCTCGTTATTTATTTAGAAATTGGCAGTCTAGTTTATATAGCAGTCTCTGGTGATTGTGGCTAGCATGCACCGTGTCCAAATCTGCACTGCGAATCCCCAACAGGGGTGAGAGTATGCAATATTTCTCAAACGTAGGTGATGACGAACTGTCTTTTTCATGGAGCATTTCCCAGAACAGGTATTCTGACAGCCTGCTTCAGGAAAGGCATCCCTGGGCCTTGGGGTCTCCACCTCACTCCTCAGGCTTTGGTACTTTGTGCACCAAGCAGTCCTCTGATTGTTTTAGCTTCCCAAGAAGATTTTTCCCTATGATGAGGGCTCTTGAAACAGTTCTTACTCTGACACACTGATGTTCTGATATTTATATGTTAATTAGCCTTGTAAATTTGCTCACAGTACTTAGTTGTTCTTCAGAGGTTTTGTTTTTGTGTTTTTTGTTTTGCTTTTGCTTTGAGAATATAACTCTTCCTCCAAGAGCTGAGTAAGTCAGGACTTGTAATCACCATTTAACAGATGGAGAAAATGAGGCCCAGGGGGTGACGTGCTGGCAATATAGCTAGGAATAAAGCAAAGAAACTAACGGATGTCAGACCCTGAGCTACAGGGAGCTACATATATTGTCTCATTTAATTTACAGATATGACTGAATATCTTCAAGGAGTTAAACTAGCTACAATACTGATGCTATATTTATGCCTAGCAAGATTTCTTGCTTCGGTGGATGAGGTTTGTAAGATTAATTTTCCTAAAATGGAAACTAAACACACTGTGTGCATCTACCTGTGGAGGTGGTGGGCAAGGCAGTGTGTGATTTACACACAGTAGTTGCTGCTGGGAAGCTGGATTGCCTCAGAAATTGTACAGGTCTCCTGGCTGCAGTGATTGAAGATTTTCTGCTCTCCTCCTTAGCTCTCCGTAGCCATCACACACCCCTCAACAGCCCAGGTCATCTTTGACAAGGGATCTTCACCTCTTAAGTTGCTCTGACCCAGTTCAGGCCAGAGGGCAAACCCCTTAGGACACTTTTCCCACTCCAGCCCAGACCGGCAACTCCCTCACATATTGAATAAAAAGATGTACCTACCCCAGAGTTTTATTAATTTCTTTCAGGTCAAGTATTTGCTTCTTCAGAAACTCTATTTCACTATTCATCCTCGTAATATTCATTCGTAATTGATTTATCTCTAAAATATTTAATCTCCGAGCGTCTCTGATACATTCTTAAAAGTAAGTGGAAATGTTACTAAATTATTTGAGAAATGGCACAATTTTCATTGACTGACTTTTAAAATCATAAACAAATGGTTATTTCTTTGAAATCTTTTTTCAATTATGTTCCTGTATCAGACACCTTTTACTCACCCCTTTGGACCCTGTTGCTCTTATCTATTCTTTCCCTTATTTCAGCTGCTGCTATGGGAGCCAGCTTTCTACGGACTCTGAACAACTTCAGACTGGAGCACCCGATTCCTGCCTTTTCTATATCCACTTCTCACCTCCTGCCTAGGACTTGCCTGTCGCCTCTACCATGGGACTTCTTTAGACACCTGCACCCATGATGTGTAACCCAAAGGGCGGGAGGTGGGACAAACACTGGGCAATGATAGACAGGAGCCAGTGCCCAGAGAGTTCTGAGAAGAGGTAACTCTGTGTCTTGGGGGCATGTTCTCGTACTTCATTGGTTGTAGTTGGCGGCAGTCAATGGCATATTGCACGCCGTATTAGCTCATATCAGTCTCCTTATCCTACCTTCCTCCTCCTTGGATTGTACTCCTTAATACCAGTGCCAAAGCCATTGCCTCTGGTTCTGCCTTCTGGGAAACCCCGTGTATTAAAGAACTACCTATTTATCAGTAAATAACAAACCAGTGTAATCACATCAGACTTCAGAAGAGTACCTCAGTTTATGATAGATAGATGGTAAATATGCATGAATTTTTGAACACCGCTGTTTAGAAATGTGCTGGTTGACCCATTTCTACACATCAAGTTTCCTTGAAACGAACTGGTAGCTTCCCTGAGAGAGCTGGGTTATTTTTTCTAGGCTACCAGTTAGATTGCTCACTGTAGCAGGGCTTCTCCAACTTTATGTCTCAAATATGCATATGCATCCCCTGGGAATCTTGCTGAAATATAGATTCTAATATAGTAGGTTTAGGATGAGTCTAGAGAGTCTGTATTTTGCAACAAGCTCTCTGATGATGCTGATGCAGCTGATCCAAGAACGATATTTTGAGTAGCAAAGTTTCATTCATAAGGCCTATTAAATTTACTCGGTTACCTATTCAGCGTATATCAAGGATCTTATGAGCTCATATGGTAATGTTTTTCCTTCTAAAATATTTTTCCTGATTATAAAAGTAAACCAACCTTGAACATAAAAAGCAACTAAAGAAAATAAAACAAAAACCCTCTTAATTCTGCCTTTGACACAGATTTCTTCTGTTATTTTTTTCTCTGCATGTATAGCTTGTTGTATTTTCCGTGCCAAACTACACTAACACCATGCATATCATGCATATTATTTTATAAGTGACTGTATCACTCAGGGTCTAACTAGGTCATAGAAATCTTATTGTAAATTGGGAGGGAAATTTTAACATAAAGAGTTATCAGCTATAACAGAGGATTAGAGCAAAGAGAGAATGAATAGTAAGAAAGTAAAGAGAATGCAGAAGAATTCAGGAGTAGCGGGCAGAAGGAGCGGCCACGACCCCAGGGCCGAGAGAGTATTCTTTTTTTTTTTTTAAGCTGAGCCATCCTGCTACCTGTTGGCAGCTCAGCGACTGCTCAGCTCGGGCTGGACTCGAACCGCTGTTGCTCAGAGCTCAAACTCTTGAGCAAGCTCTTAACCAACCCGAGAGAGTATTCTTGAGGCAGCAGCGCCTCCAAACCTGAGATCTAGGCCCCACCAGAGAACATCGGGGCTCACTGGATGGCAAAGAAGTTCAGGAAATGCTGGGCTGGCAAGCTTGCTGGAGCTCTGGCTTCCGGAGCACTGGGGAAACCCAGCCAAGAGAAGTGCCACACTTTAGAACGCACTGTGACGCCACCCAAGAGTGCTGGGGGAGCTGTTCACGGGGAGATGCCTCGCTGGTAGCCATCTACCATGAAGTTGCCCAAGGGGTCCTAGAGGGAGCGGTTGGGCACTGCGGACTGCCACATGCTGCAGGGCACTGGCATGGAGAAGCTGCCAGCACCGCAGGAGTCTGCCTAGCTCAGCACCCTGGGACCAGGAGGAGAGCCCCTTCTTCCGCCAGCATCCCCCCAGGGCCTCTACCGACAAAGCTTACCGTTGTGTCTGCTGGTAAAGGGGAAATTTACAGGATCCAGCTCCCTGATGACAGAGCAGACAATGAAGGTAGATTTGGAGCTGCCAAGGCAACGAGTGGGTAACTGAAATGTCTACTTAAAAAGTGTTTTTAACAATTGTATTTATAGACCACCATTTTAGGATGGGCTCGCTGGGAAACAGATTCTAAAATTTGTGTGTAGAAAATGTATTTTGTAGTGCTGTCAGGAACATCTCTGAGGAAATAAGGGAATCAGGGTTGGGCAGAAGGAAAGGTCAGGTGGTAACGAGCTTTAGAGCTGTGATGACACTTTGGAGTTGTACATCAAGTCAAGAGAGGGAGGTCCTGTACCTCCACAGTGACCCATCAGCAGCACCTGGGGAGGGAATGTAACCTGGAGTGAAGCCTTTCTCTTTTGTCAAGGGCAATTCCTGTGCAAGAGCTGAGCTGTGAGCCTCAGTCAACACTCCTGGCAGCTGGGGAAGTGAAGCTGGACCCTTTCCTAACACCAAATATAAAATTTAACTCAAAATGGATCACGGACCTAAATGTAGGAGCTAAAACTATAAAATTCTTAGAAGAAACTATAGGGGGGAAGCTTCATGACATTGGATTTGGTGATGATTTTTAGACTATGACACCAAAAGCACAGGCAACAAATGTAAAAAGGAAACTGGACTACATCAAAATTTATAACTTGTGTGCATCAAAAGTCACTATCAGTAGAGTGAAAAGGCAACCCATGGAATGGGACAAAATATTTGCAAGTTATATATCTGATAAGGGATTAACATCCATAACCTATAAAGAATTCCTACAACCCAATAACAAAACAAACAACCAGGTTAAAAGATGGGCAAAGGACCTGTATAGACATTTCTCCAAAAAAGATATACAATGTCCCATAAGCACATGACAAGGTGCTCAACATTACTAATGATTAGGGAATGCAAATCAAAACCACAATGAGATACCACTGCACACCCATTAGGAAGGCTATTATTTGGAATACAAAAACAGAGAATAACAAGTGTTGGCAATAGTACAGAGAAATTGGAACTCTTGTGCATTGCGGGTAGTAATGTAAAATGATACAACCACTGTGAAAAATGGTATGGTAGTTTCTCAAAAAAAATTAAACATAAACTTGCTGTATTACCACACAATTCAGCAATTCCCTTCTGCATATGTACCCAAAAGAATTGGAAGCAGCACTTCAAATAGATATCTGTACACCCATATTTATAATAGCATTATTCACAATAGCTGAAAGTAAACAATCTAAGGGCCCATCAGTGAATGAATGGATAAATAAAACATGGTACATACATACAATGGACTATCGGTCAGTCTTAGAAGGAAATTCTGGCACATGCTATAATGTGGATGAAACTTGAAGACATTACGTCAAGTGAAATAAGCCAGTCACAAAGGATATATATTGTATGATTCCACTTATATGAGGAACCTATAGTAGCCAAACTCATAGAGACAGAAAGTAGAATGGTAGTTTAAGCCAGTTAAGCTGCCTAATTTAATTGGATAAATATCAATTTTGAATGGGCTGATCTGTATATCTTTATTTAGAAACTAACATATATATATATATATATATATATATATATATATGTATATTTTCCACTTAAAATGCCAGGAAAAATTATTATGGATCTTACTGTGTGCCATGTACTCTTTCTGGCTATACTTTGACAAGCAATAACTAAACTAATCTTATTTAATCATACTTTAAACTCATCTTCTTACAAGTACTTGGTTCTATTTTCTTATAAGACAAACTGAATTTCTACAGTTATTAACCTCAACGTACCTTCTAATTCTGTGCTAATGTCACTGGGAAGAGTTTCTAATAGAAAATACAGTCTGCTGAATTTCATGCTTTCAATTTCCAGAAGATCAATTGTGGCTTTTCTTATTTCTTCCTAAAAATTTAAATTACATGTTCTAAAAAGTTAAGACATTAAAATAATAAGGTTTATCTCCTAAACAATGCTCTATAAATTCTTTCAAAGATCAAAATTTGATTTTCATTAAACACTTTCTGCTGCTATTTTTATTTGGAATAGAAAATGGGAAAAGTAACTACAATCAGTTTTTAAGGTGTCATTGTTAGTTTATCTTTTAATTTCTGCTGATTTTCTTCTACTCAGAAATCAGTTTTCCCTATGTGTATGTGTTTCTTGTTGGCAGTTTCAATGAGTTTCAAAGGAAAGACTCCAACAAAAAGGGTAACATTGAGAAAAGAAGTGACTTAATTAAAAAATAGAAAATGCTAATAAAAATATGCATAGGTATAAAGAGAACAAAGGTTATCTTATACCAACCTACAAATCCAAACAAAGAGTCAGGTGGAGCTGATATAATAACAAGAAGAAGAAGAAGAAGAATTAATTTATAATTGTTTGGTGGGGCTATTTGAAAAAAGAAAAACATTGGGGCTGGCTGAGTGGCTCAGTTGGTTAAGAGCTCGCTCAAGAGTTTGAGCTCTGAGCAACAGCGGTTCAAGTCCAGCCCGAGCTGAGCAGCCGCTGAGCTGCCAACAGGTAGCAGGATGGCTCAGCTAAAAAAAAAAAAAAAAAAAAAAAATTCAAAAATCTGTTAGTGGAAAAAAATAGATAAATCATCTTTTAAATAAATGGTCATAATGGCTATAGTTACTTTATGACCTGATAAATTACCATTATATTTTATGAATAATGAAAAGCAGATTACATAATTGTGTGTGTATATATATATATTTATACATATATTATGATCACTTTTTTATAAAAAATAAAATTCAATATAGGCATCATCTATACTCTGAAAGTAGAAAGGGCATTCATCAAAGAATTAATTGTGATTATTTAAGGATGGTGGGGTTATCATGGTTTTTACTTTCTTCCTTTTGCTTGTCTATTTTTTCTAAGTTTTCCAGAGTAAACATGTAGTGCTTTTATAATAGTGAAAATTTGCTGCTTTAAAAAATGGATGGATTTATCTCTAAGAGATTTCACAGCTCAGATATTAAATGAAGACATGCTAGATACCTTAATGAGCCACAATAATTATTTTGACCTCTTCAATTTCTGGAGAAAAATATAACCAAAAACAAAGCAGAGGAAAAGGTTTTCACAAGGCCACAGTGTAGTCAGTATAATCTGCACAAACTGTTCCCATATATGTATTCAATTAAGTGTGATCATAAAGTATAATTCTGTAGTATACATACACATCTATATATAATTACATAAAATATAATTTTAAAGTAATGAGGCTAACTTTTATCAGAAATCTGTAGACCCAAACTCATTTACTTTACAGTCATATTTCTGTATTTTTAGATATTTGATATGTAGTAGATTCTTATTCAATATCTTCAAATGAAGCAACTTCGCCATTCTGACCCTACTAGGCAAGCACTGTAAACATCATCCAGGACCAAACAGAAAATGTTGGTGACATTTCAAAAGGAAACTCTTTAAATATTTCTTTTTGGGGCCAAGTTAATATAATCATAAGAATTTCTGCTTGTTTCCCCTGAACGCACAGTCTACTTCAGTGAAATAGGGGCCCCCAAATCTTTCACCAGTTATGTAAGGAATCGATTATAGAGAACTGAGTTAATGGGCACCATGCATGCAACTTATTCCAAAGGTTTTTTGTTTTAAGCAATGCCTACATATTGGTGTCCCAAGCATTTGCCCATTTGGTCCACCCCTTAACTGAGCTCTGTTATCACCAATCTCATTTCTCCTTCACTGGCTTGCCCTCATCCATTGCACATGTCTTAATTCAGTGTTCTGCATGGAAAATCGGGCCACAGTCCACAGCTGAGCAACCCTGGTGCAAATGCTTAGTCAACTGAGGGAACGTTTCTTTTTTACTCAGGGCAAATACTTTCCCTATTCATCTAATGAAATACCTTGAGCAAAATTGGTGCTAAATTAGAGTTTGATAAAGAAATAAGTGAAAGATTGAAAAAAAAATAGCCCTTATAGATAATACAATACCAATTTCTTGACAGCTATAGCAATATCCTTAAGAAAGTTCCTAGCTTCTTCGTTGCATTTAAAATAGTCACTTTGCAGTGATTGTTCTAAAAAAAAATAAAATAAAAATCAAGATCTCTTATTTATATGCCCAAATCCTATTTAACCCTTTAAGATCTAGCTCAAATGCTTACTCAGCTGGAAATTACATCTTCTATCTGATTTTCTATAGCACTTTATATGAACACTTTTTGTGCTTATTTTCTAGTATTCTAATTTAGGCATATATTTTATGCTCCTTGAGGACAAACTCCTCTTTGCATCTCTCACTGTAGAAAAAGGGGTGCGTATAGGATAGGACACCCTAGGTGCAAATCTAAGGGGACGTCCCCCCCAGCACCCACCCCCGCACTTGCTGGCCTCTCACCCACAACAAAGAGCTGCTCCAATGCTGCGGCCGCGACCGAAGAGCCCAGGGTGGAGGGGAAGGTGCATAACTCCAGCGAGGGGCCGGTAGAGACCGCGGCCGCCTGCAGCACCTTCTTGCTGAACCCCAGTTCCGGAGACCAAGAGCTCAGAGCCATCTTGCTGCTCCTGTGCAGCGCCTGCCAGGCCAGAGGAAAGGACCGCGGTTGCCACGGGCAACCAGCATTTCAAGGCGGAGCGCCACCTTGTGGCGCTCGCGTGGGCAGCGTACCTCATCGGTCTCTAATTTTCTCCACAATAATTAAGCGATGCTGGAAGTATGAGTCCCTCTTTAGCTGTCCTTTCCTATTTCCATTTCCATTTCTTTAGTTCGGGCCTGTACCTTTCTCGTGACCCATTGGAATCATAATAATGATCACCTTTGAACATTGGTCTGTGTCGGGCACTACAGAGGAGCTTAATGGCCTTGTGAGGCAGTTTCTTTTATTAGCTCCACTTTTACAGGCATTTGCTAGTGGTTTTAGATTGGCCTAGGTAGTTACACACCTGTAAGGCGTTTTGTGGATTCACAAAGTGTACATTTTTGTAACAGCTTCCATGACTTATTTAATCTTTATCATAACTCTTCAGGGAAATTATTATGATTATCCTATTTTTTGGAAAATTGTACCGAGATGAGAGATTCAATGACCTTGGGGATAACCTCTGTCCCAGCCCTTAGAATTGGACAATGCCAGAGCACTCCTTTCAGCTCCGGGCCTGGGGCACTGTCAGCTCAGGGGGAGCTGCCTGTGGCTGTGCAACCAGGGCAGGCAGTTGAGGTTGGGGTGAGGAGTGCTCTGGCTGGATGGGATTCACCAGAGCCGGGGAGGAGTGGCTGTAGAGCATGGAGTGCATGCAGAGGAAAAGCAGGAGACCAGCCAAAAATTTGGGTTGTGATTTCACTGTAAAGGGCCTTGAATTCCGAGCTCAGGAGTTTGGGTTTTATTGCTGTAGGCAATGATGCTGGGAATATGATGGAGAACAGGTTACACTGCTCCCTGCTGGCAGCTGCTTGGTAATTCAGTTTACTTCTGCCAAAGGTAACGTTTTATGGTACGGTAGGCTATCCTTATCAATTGCAAGCATTATGATTTTTTTCAAGGAAGTATCTGCAGAATAATCAGAAATTAAATTGGACCTGAGACAACTAATGCCATATGTAGCAAGGATGTCTACGATGATGATGATGATGATGATGATGATGATGTCATTGATGTTTCGGGTGGCGTCCTCATTTAGAAAGGTAGCAATGGTGATTATTAATGCTCGCTTAGGATTTTTATAGACATTTCAAATACTCATGATCTTAAAGTAGCAATATTCTTACTTTCCTTATTTTCTCTTATTTTAATTAATTTAATTTTTAAAAAAGATTTTATTGGGGAATTGTGGGGAGAGGAACAGCGTTGGGGAATCAGGGAAGAGGAACAGACAGGTAGATAAATTGCTGTTTTGCTCTTCAGTCTAGTTGTGGAGGACATCGCCTCACTGGCCCATGTTGGTATGATCATTGTGCTCTTCCCGGGTGAGGCAATCGGTCGCCGGTCATTGGTCGGCCGCTCACAGCAGCTCCCGGTAGCTCACACCGGCTACCAGCCGTTCACGCTGGCTGCCAGCCACTCACGTAGCTCATGGCAGCCCACTGCAGCCCTGCTGCTGCCTACGCCATCGCTGGCTACTCACAGCAGCCCAGTTCCAGGTCGAGCTGTTGTTCATCATCTTAGCTGTAGAGGGCGATCGTCACTGGCCCTCAATGTAGGATTCGAACCGCAGCCCTGCTGCTCAGAGCTGGCATCCCAAGCGAGCTCTTAACCAGCTGAGCCACTCGGCCGGCCTTTAATTTAATTCGTATATTTACAAAGTTTTAGATATGATTCATCTGAAGATGATTCATTAAAGATCACTAGAGTAGGTAAGCTCTCCATTTGATTTTAAAATCTTTGTTTACTCTCTTTTGGGGCAGGGTGGAGATGCTGACCATTCCTTTATATATGGATGCAGTGGTGAATTTCCAGAGCTCATTTGCAAAATAAAAATACAAGTAAGTCATTGCCATTTTCTATCCCATTCCTTTCCACCCCTCTCAAAGACCTTCCTCAATTCACTCCTCCCTCCCATGTCTTCCACCTGTTCTTCAAAACTCATGCCCAGTTTTCTCCTACTAAATCCATGTCTTTCCTGAACGTTTCTGCCACTGTACCTTTCTGCTTCCCCTTATTACCAAACTTCTTAAAACTGTGGTCTACACGTTGGCTATAGTGCATCCCTTCACCCTGAATTCTAAATTGCGTCCTCCTCATCTTTGAAGAGCCTTTTAAGTCCCATTCCCGCCCATCTGTTTTTCTGCAGAATTTGACACTATTATTCAGTTTCCCCAACTCTTCACTAGAATTTCACTTCCTACTTGGTTCCTGCTATCCCTTCTTCACTTCCCTCACTGGCTCCCCATCGTTTTCCTCCCATTTGCCAAAAGGGAACATGACGCCTGGACTCTGACCTTGGCCTTCCTTCATACTCTCTAACTTCCCTCAAACAGAGTTGAACCTACACAAATAGCTCTCAGGTTGTATCTCCTGCCCAAACTGTCTTCTAAGTATTAATCTGGTAGGCTAAACATTCTCATCTGGCTATGCTGCTAGTATGTCAAATACAACCTGTTGAAAATCAAAGTCTGCACTGCAGGTGGTTTCTCTACCTACTGACATCACACTTGTATTGTCAGCCCATCTCAAAAGCTGTTTCATCCATAAATTCCTTCTTGAGCCCAATAACCTTGAAGCCCCCAAAGTACTTCGTTCAAACTTCTCATAGATGGTAATTATCTTAGGCTGAGCAGTCTTACAGTTTTCTGTGCAATAGTCTTGTTACTGAATAGCTTTGTCATCTTTATACCTCAATTTTCTCACTGTAAAATAGGGCCCTCATTGGAGGGTAGTCATGAGAATTAAATAAGTTAATATAAAGTGTTTAAAACAATGCCTGGAGCAGAATGAGGCACCTTGTAAATTTAGATGTATACTATCTTTATACTACTATTAACTCTATAAAAAAGGGGACTGCATTTTACTCAACTTTGAATCTCCTATAGCATCCAGCACAGCAGTTTGCACATAAATGACTGCTTAAGATGACTGTTGAAATGGATAATAAGAAAGATTCATATATTCAGAATTTAAAAAAATTGTTTGTAGTTCAGGTTGTAATAGAAAAAGAAAAGTATTGGAGAAAAAAAGCCACTTTCTCAGGGACTCACATCACTTTTCTATCTGGACTGGAAGGGCAAGAACTGACATTCACAATGGTTTTACTGATCATCATTATTACAAGACATTTTGAATTTCCAGATTAAACTGTATATAATTAAAGGTTGGTTCTGAGTGAATTTTATTGTATCAGAATTATTGCTTATTTTTTTCAAAATGGCAACTCTTAGTTCACTGCGATTTCAAAGTTAATGCGGATTGTGAGTTCTCAGCTTTGCCGGATGAATGAGCTTCCCAAGCTGAAGACATGTCACCATGACTCCAACTGTTTCTTTTCCTGTTGCTATGGGCAGTGTGTTCTAGCTCAGGATGAATGTCTATGTAAAATTAAGCCCTGATTTAGAGCCCTTTGAGATTTGTGCACTGTCTTTTCTGCCTCTGTTCCTGGCAGAGTTGTTAGGAAATGCCTGAATGTAAACACTTCCATCTTTAACCGCAAAGGTCAAAGCAGCAAAATAGTATTTGGAAAAATACTCCATCCCCTACAGTGAAAGCCTTGGACTCCCTAGGTTCTTTCAATAAATGCCCATTTATGGTTAGTATACTTTAGTGGGTTTGTTTACTAGCAACCGCACCGTCTTGCTGAGGCAGTATTGCTTCTGAGCTAGAGATTGTAGGGAAAAGGGCAGAGGAACACAGGGAAGGCAGCCGGGTTCCGTGGGGAGCCCAGGCCTCAGACAAACAGGGTTTCAAGTCCTTGCTTTACCACTAACTAGTTGCATACACTTGTGCCAGTTATTTAAACATCTTTAGTTTCAGTCTTCTCATTTGGACAAGAAAAATACTACTCATGTAGGTTTTTGAAATTCTGAGGATTAGAAATACTGTGTGTAAAGGGCCCAGCATAATGTCTGGCTCAGTGATGCTGTGTTATTGCTAAGAGGCTTCATTTTAATAGCCTTAAGATAACTGGCTTACTATGATTTATTAACTAATAAATCAAGTAGCTAAATTGTATAATAATTAGTCAGCTGGCTAAATACCTTTCATATAATACCCAATTTAGGAATGAAAGAACACAATTAAAAACAAGGTAAATTTTTGTGAAAAGGAGATAAAGTAAATGCACTTTACCTAGTTAGAAACTCTATAAGGCCAGGAGAAAATGCTCTTGGTTTAGCACCATTCTTCCCAAAGGAGGCTAAAGCCTCTACCATAAACTGGGCACCCAAATGGGTTCATGCAGAATAGAGTCCCTGAAGAAAGCTCCCTTTATTCTGCTGGGAATGTATATCATCTGGGTGTTCTCTGCTACTTAGGGGAAGCAAAGAAAAGACGAGTTATATTCTATTGAGCAAAAAGGAGCACAGGATCAATTTGCCACTAAGAGATTATAGTGTGGTAGATTCTCTCCTAATTTTAGAGCACTTTAAACACACTTATTGAGCAGAGCTAGTACTACAGAATTTCTGGGTATTTTGATGACCAACATGTGAAAAAAAAATACAATATTGCCTATTTCGATTTATAGTTATTGCTAGATGCATCAAATTCATTGGGCAACTTGTCCTTGTAAGAATTTACATGCCGATGTCCTGTTTTGTACTGAACCATTAATAAGTGAGTATCAGAAAGGAAATAACAGATAAACTAGAAGTTTATGACTATTGCATTCCCTTGTTGGAGGGAGGGGAACCTCACTAAATTCAGTGGAAATATCTAATGTTTAATTTTCAAAGTAACCTTTTCAATATAGAGCCTGAACTTAATTTTCTGTGATAGTTAAAAGAACAGTGAGAAGACTCCACTACCTGGCTTTCTCCCTGACCGCCTTGGAGGACTGCCTGCCTGCTTCCTCTGAAAGCTTCAATTCTATCAGAAGGCCTTCTCCACACAATGTTACTTTCTCTGGTTGTGGTGATATTGGCTAGGGAACTG